AACGTCAAAGGGAACTGAGGACTGCGATCGACGTCCAATTCGATTTATTGTATTTTATTATTTAATTGCCACGACACTCTAGAATAAGTTCAGACAACCTGGGGCCACCTCACGCAGTGAGCCCATCGGAAGAGTTTTACCAGTGGAGAAACCACTGGGTTTTTAATTCCGGCTGGTATCGTCTCAGGCTCATGATGAACCCACTAGGGGGGCGATCTGTAGCGTCACGCACCTCCCTAAAATCAATGGCCTAGGGTTCGGCGACATTCAACATTGATGCTGACCTTGATAGTTTAACGCGACTCGCTGAGCTGAAGGCACCCGGTTAGGCATCCTCGCCGTTTGGCACACTGTCGTGTTACGTTGCACTGCTCGTATTCGACTCTCTAGCCAGTTAGTTGGAACGCATCGGTATCTTGGCACAACCACCCAAATGTACTATTCCATCCGACTACGCTACCGTGTTCTTCCTTGGTCTCGTATTCGTGGGTATATAACAAGCCGGAATAATTAGTGATTAGTCTTTGCGTCTGTCAAGTTCGCACCAGGACAAATCCTAAAATATAGTCACGCCGAGACCAACGGTCCACCCACTGTATCTCGGACTCGAAGTAAAAAGAAGTAATCAACTGCTGCCGCGCCATTCTAATTATGTTACCTCTACAGCAGTTTTCCTACTACTGTAATCAGTCAAGCTCTTTCCATCTCATATCTTTGCACCTCCGCTCACCTTAATCGGGTGTGAGTAGAGTACTCCATCGTTTTACTTTTCGTCGCCTTTTAGTAGCATAAATTTATCTTTCTGGGTTTTCTCTTCGATATCCACAGCTCCCTCTGACGGCCAGCCCGAACAAATGTCTGGCAACTTAACATCTTAAGAACCCAACCGCACTATGGTCCAAGGAAAACTAACCAACACTTGTTCTGTAAATCAGAGCTATAGCAGACTAGTGGCTGAATCCACTACGTCATAATCCGCCAAAGACCTGAAAACGTTCCACAGGATCGAGAAGCGAGAAAAAGGAAAACAATTGATTTATAGAATCTCGTTAAACAGATATTAGATATTACAAACTTAGTAGGTAGTCTACGCCGAGCTGAAGGTTCACTGCCCCTAGTAATGCAGCTATCAGAATAACTATGGACTATTTCGCTGAGAACTATTAAGAACTGGCGACGGAGCACTGAAAGAAAATATTATGATGAGATCTGAGATCGCCCTCCTAGACCTTTAAGAGTATCTCTTGATAGTACACGTCAGTCGGAACACATCCTTCTGAAAGGTCATCAGTTGGTGAAACGTAAACTGTCTGACGTCAGGATTAGGCCTGATAGACCCTGGTCAGTGCGAGAACTTCCCAACAGCGAGAAGATTTACTCTCAAGAGTTGCGCTGCTCGGTAATTATGCACGGAATTCCCGAATGTTAGGGTACCGATACCGCCGAACTTACTCACGACATGAATCAGTGGAGATATATTGTCAGGGAACTCCAAATCTATGCGGGGGCAGAAAGAATTGATCGTCTTCCAAGGCCGGCTCACCTCTCGACTATACGTACCCCCAGGCTACCTCAAGTAACCCTTGACTCTGCGGACATAGTTGGAACTGCCTTAAAATCCTGGTGTAATGTATCTGGTACATTCCCTAGAGAAATAAAGGTAGGCGGGTGCAGACCCAAGGAACAAAGTCAGACTGAGAGGCGATTCAAGCGCTTACCGTTGGCCAGCGCACAACTAACGGTGGAACGGCTGGACGATGAGCAAGAGTTTTTATCGACCATGTCCCAGATAGAGGAACCCTGCACCAGTTCTCAGTCAAAGAGATCGGTGGGTACAGTAGCCCTCGGTTCCATCGCCCTATCAAAAACTTGTCAAACCCGGCCATTTAAAGACTGGCAACTCACACCTAACTCAACCGGTTTCTGGGACCTCCGGCCCTCATAGTCTTATTCGCTGTACCTTCAGCAACGTATGAGGCCTACGCTCCAAAGTACCTGAGTTAAGGTTACTAGTGAATGAAGAAATTCCTAGCATAATGGCTTTTTGTGAAACATAGCTATCAGAAAACATAAATGACGAGGAAGTTCGTTTGGGACAGCTCAGCCTAATCCGAAAGAATAGAGGAGGAGGAGGTGACGTTGCCCATTACACCTGCCCCTCCTTAAAAGTCCATGAGATTCAATCTCATAGAATTGGCATTAAAGGTGTCCTCTGGTGTAGTATTAAGTGCTGCGGAGGTCCGTGCTTGGCTGCAGTTTTATACCGCCCTCCTGCAGCTGACGCCACGCTAAATAAAATATTGATACGGTCCATTAGGGAGCCTTGGAACTGAACTTCCCACAGGTCCTCGATATGGGAGATTTTAACTTTCCTCAACACTTTACCACAGAAAGTCCATCTACCGCTCTAAAAGACTTTCGGGAATTGTTGCTGGAAAACTCCTTCACAGAACACGTCTCCCATTGTACTCGCTGAAGGCCTGACCGTAAGGCATCATAACTAGATTATATTTTCACAAATCAGTTCATTGGGGTAGGTAACTTGAATGTTTTAAGCCCTCTTGGCCTGAGTGACCATGCATTTATCTCCTTCAATATTTCTGTGTCTAAGCCACCCGCTCCCAATCAGCCTATAGTCAGGAATCACATGAGAGCTGATTTCGAGAAGGTTCGGCAAGATCTAGAAGCTTCCGCTCGCTTAAACTGCGATGACCTACTGGATCTTGATGCTAGATGGGGTCTGTTGAAGAATATGATCCTACGGACGATAGAAGACAACACTCTCCTGATCCCAGGAGGAACTAACAAGTTCTACTCCTCCTGGATTAAGTCTAGCGAGCGCAAACTAATACGGCGTAAACGGTGGTCTTGGAATCTATGGTGGTGCACTAATGGCCCCTTTGATTGGCTAAATTATAAAGACATCCGTAACAAATGTACAGTAAGGATCAGAAATGACAGAATAAACCTTCAGACACAACTTCGTAGAACCCTTGAGAGGGAATCATGAGATACTGTACTCGTTGATGAAACAGAAGAGTAACAGTTCACCAAGTTTACAGGGCCCCATAAGTTTGGAGATTCTCTATTCCAACTCCGTGGCTGCAAACCTACTAGCTCATGAGTTCCAAAACAGCTGTCGCTTGGGAGGCAAAACCCTGCCTCTGTCGGACACCTGTATCACAGAGGGATTAAATCATATAGAGTTTGAACCCTCTGTAATTATGGAAATATTAAAGAAAGTGAACCCGAATAAGTCTCCAGGAATCGATGGTATCCATCCAAGAGCACTCAAGGAGTGTTCTGAAGTTCTGTGTGCCGCATTGACAAACCTCCTCAAATGCTCTTTTCTGGAAGGCAGGTTACCCTCCGATTAGAAACGGGTGGATGCCGTCTCAATTTATGAAGGTGGAAACAAACTACTCGCCTCCAACTACAGACCAATCCCCCTGGTCTCTTCATTTGCGAAGGTCATGGAGAGAGTCATAAATGACTGACTTCGTGATCACTTACTTCAGAAATCAATCCTAAACAATTGTCAGCATGGCTATGTACCAGGAAGGTCATGTAACACCAACTTGTTGATAGCTTGGAATAGCTGGACACTCTCTGCTCAGAAGAAAAGCCTATACACACTGGTTTACTTGACTTTTCTAAGGCCTTTGACAGGGTAAATCATGATACCCTTTGTAAGAAACTCCAGCTCATGGGTGAACACGGAAAATTATTAATCTGGCTTAGAGATTATCTGTACACCAGGGTGCAGTCAGTTAGGGTCGGCTCCCCTCTATCTGATTGGTTCCGGACGCTGAGTGGTGTGCCTCAAGGTTCCATACTAGGCCCAATACTGTTTCTTGCCTTTATCAATGACCTACAAGGAGTCCTCAATTCACATTCACTATTATATGCCGATGATCTGAAGATCTGGGGGGAAATACAGGAACCAACGGACATTTCAATCTTCCAGGAGGACCTTACGAATGTCCTTAATTGGACTACAGAAAACCTACTTCCTCTCAACTCGAAGAAGTGTCGAATTATGATAGTTGACAAACATAAAGGCAGTCCCAGTTCTTACTCTCTAGGTGAAATAAATTTCTGTCACCCTAACATGAAACAAGATCTGGGAGTTACACTAAATGGTACTCTGGGGGCCTCTGTTCACTGTCGCCTTGCGGCCAATAGGGCTTATGGAATCCTGGGGTTTCTCTTGCTAACCTTAGGGTATCTAACTCCTCTTTTCACCACGGTGTATGCTCTGTACATTCGTCCTCATTTAGAAAAAAATTCGCTTGTAATGTCTCTATACTTGAAAAAGGACATTGCCATCCTAGAACGGGTACAGAGAAGAGCTACAAAGAGAGTAGTTGGGTTACCGCACAAATCGTACCCAGACCACTTAGTTGCTCTTCAGCTGCACCCAGTACAACACCGGAGGATCAGAGGGGATATGATCATGATGTACCACATCGCACATAATCCCCTCCATCCCAACAGATCCCTTTTAATCTTTAGTCGGAAACGTGACTTGAGGGGTCATCCGTTAAGAATAGAGCATGAGAGAGCACGTACCAAGATCCGTGCTAAATCATTTGCAGTTAGAGTCTGTAAACTGTGGAATCCCCTCCCTTCAGCTGTTTTTACAGCCTCATCCCCTGATACCTTTAAAAGGAGGCTAGACGCACACCTTGAGTCCTACGGTACCGATGGGCTACACTCGAGAAGCTTTCCCCAGATCAGATGCAGTAATACTAACTTGAGACTAGATTAATTAATTAATCGTATCTCTATCCCTTTCAGGTTTTTCAGAACTGGGAAGATAATCGTGACCATTCCAAACTCAGAAAGTATCCCAATAAGACAGACGTAGAATCCAAGGGACCGCAGTTCGCTAATTCTTCAACACGAAGTCTGAAGTTTGAAGGTGTACCATAAAGAAGCGCGTTACCCAAACATTGGGGCACGTTTATCACTCGTTCATCAGGATACAGCTTGTTGTCATGGGAGGCGATAATTCTAAGCTTGGGTATCGAAATGCTGTTATACAACTTACCACAAAGACTCAGGTATTGTTACTGCTCACTAACACTATTGATTAGCCAGTTGATTCAAACGATAACAATTTTTGGGACCAGTTTTGGGCGGAGTATTCTATGTCCATCCAAGATATTTTTGCCCTTATTCCTGCAGCTGAAATCCGGGCTTTAAGAACAGAAGCTCCAAACAATCTGGCAACTTTGTGTTATAAGGCTGTCGAACGCATTGCACATGTAGCCGAATCGGCTTCACCAACCTCAAAAGATCAGCTAACTGGTTAGTTTATCACACTTATAGCCTATTGTTTGCAGTTCTAAACTGTATACGACTGTTAACTAGGTTATTGCCGTATATATTTGAGGATGCTGATTGGCGTTCATTTTTTTGGTCACCACTTCCGGCTGATCCTTCGGCTACAGAAGTATGTTATATTTTTTTCGTCAATAATATTACAGGGTGAGTTTGTCCCTCTAGCCCAAAGTTTGCTGTCAGCACTATGTGTAAGTAGCCAGAATCCGTATTATATTTCTTTCCAGGACTTGCTGTTTTGCCCAGATTTTACCGTCCATTCTATCTCCAAATCCGGTCCTGTAAGTATATTTGAATCATCATATAACATAAGTGTCTTAATTATAAGTATATTGGCATTCCGTTTTTGAAGTTGGAAAGGCTTTTTGTATCTCTTTCTTAAGGACTTGTCCGTCTGTTCCGTAGTCTTTGTTTTGAGGCAACTATCAAAAAAGTGATTAAATAACCCTAAATATTGCCTTAAAGTAAAGATCAAAAAGCAACAGTGCAGTATTAAGCTATGGCTTGGCTGAGAACAGTAAAACCGTCACTTTTCTAATTTCTGTCTGAAGGGCTCACTGAGTTATCCGCTGACACATTTGTTTACTCTCTATATCAGAGCTTTCTGCGACATTTCATGAGTTAATAATTTGTCTGAATTCTCTCGGATTGGGTTCCACTATTTGTGGTTTATTTGACCCTCCTAAGTAGAATATTTACTGGTTGTGGCTGTCATTTTTGGAAGTGGTAGTGCAAATTTACTTAGTTGTTAGCAATTTGAAAAGCGTCTTGTTTATAATCAGTTTTGTTCGTGGTTTTATAATGCGATTAAATGAAGTGTTTACATTTTAATAGCAGTTCACAGACCAGATGGTACATTTTAATCAAGTCATTGAGGCAGGTAGCTATAGGGTTTCTGAAAAGAGGGATGGTTTTTTCACTTAATGAGCCTACTAGTTTTACATTCAGTTTAATTGGATTTAGCATGGTGTCACGCTAAGTTAATTCTCACCGAGTTCGTAGTATTGTATCGTAAAAGTCGGTGTCAGATGGCAGTCCAAGTGTCATTGTTTTGAGTTTAATAGTGACATGGTCTGGTTTACACTCCAAGCTGTCAAGTTGAACACTTGCGTAGGGCAGGGAAAGTAACCGACATCTCAAGATTTCGAATGACAAAGTGTCTAGTTTATCAGTGTAAGCAGTACTCAGTCTGGTTAAATCAAATGCGATAAGCATCACTCAGTAACGAAACTGACGTTACTACCGGTTACTTAATTTCCGTCGTCAGTAGGTCCGACAGAAAATATCACCAGTGAACCTGGTATTACTGACTAGGGTTACTAGTTGCAAGGATGCACTAAGATAAAAGGTAAAGAAATAAAGTAGTCAGATTGGTGGAAAAAAGTAAAAAGAGGGCAAGGAGGAATGAGATGATACTGAAATCCAGTACCACGAATAAAGGTAGGATAATTCGTGGATAAATCTTCGCAATTGAGACGGTTTCCGAGCCATGTCACCTTGAGTCTCCAACCACTAGTATCCATTGTCACGTGGACCCCAACCGAGAAGTCAGTCTTTGCCTATATGAGTCGAACATTACACTCACTGATGACATGCTTTAGTGTGACCAGCCTGAACCCACTTCAGTTAACATTGTGTGACCAGGAAGATGGTGACTAGGTATGGGTAGCACATATGTCACCTAAGTCGATGTAAGTGCACAACCTTATCTACCGGCTTCCCTCCCCTTAAAGTCCTCCAGAGTTCTGTATTACCCATGTGGTGATACCACGATATGACTTATGCTATTAAGGCAAAGGTGGTTAAATACCTTAGGTCTTCTCGTATCCCCTTCTTTCAATGTCCATGTTTCACAGTAACATAAAGCAGGGCGGACTGTAGCTCAGTTCACTTGAGTCTTAATAAACCATCAGGGATCATGGTGGCACCACAGACAGTGCAGGTTGGAGGAAACTAGTCGGACCTCTTGTATCCGTGCAGAGATTTCATTGACCACTGACCCACTGGGACTGATCATACTTCCCAGGTAAGTCAGGTGGTCAACGCGCTCAACCACTTTACTTCCTATTGTTAAACAAGACACCACAATAGACCACTCCTGGGGCAACAGTTTGCATTCGGGTGGCGAAAAACGCATCCCAAACACATTGCCACTCAAGGTGTCCAGAAGATTACATCTCGTCAGTATCTTCATGTAACTGGACAATCTCATCTTCGTATTCTAGGTCTACCAAGGGTTATCCTATGATAAGACCACTCTCTGTGAAGTCGGATGACTAAAAGTGGGCCTTCATATGTTCATTTATTGTAAAGTCGAATGTAAATGGAGATAGTGCATATCCTTATCGGACACCATTTGACGTATATAACTCTTCTGATAATTCAACATAAGCGCTAACGCGACCATTCGTATTCGAGTACAGAGTCTCCAAAATAGTTAGATGCTTACCCGGGACCCGTTTCAGTGAGAGACACTGCCATAAGACCTCTGGACTGATGGAGTCAAATGCAGCCTTCAGGTCGAGAAATACGGCTAGTATCGGGTGCATTTAATCGTGGATATGTTCCAGAACCTGGTGAAGGGTAAATAAAGTATCTGGTCGATTAACCCATATCGGTCTGAAATCTGCCTAGTTTTCTCGGATTTGCTGTTCCCAAGCTTCACTCACAACCAGTAGTTATAAAAACTAGAATTTCAGACACCACGAATGTAGTATTCGTCATATTGATTCCCCTGTGGTTGTCACAACAGAACTTCTCTCCTTTCTCAAAGGTTGGGATAATCATTCAGTGTTTGGGACCAGTCAGAGGGGATCATATCTGGATCACATACACTAGCTAACACTTCAGTTAACGACCAACAGTCCGAAACCACCATCCTTAAATACCTCTGGAACTAGTCTACGAGCCCTTCTACTATTTCTTGTTTCGGCTTGTGTTAGTGTTGGGGATTTTATCTCGATGTTCAACTCAGGGTCCACCTGGATAGTGAGAAACAAAATAGTAGCTGGAGGTCATTTGGACTGTTGCTGAGTGTTCTGCTGATCGTTCTAGTCATGTTCCCTGGGAGTGAATCACAAACCTATCCTTCTCCGTTATAGTCTCACTAACCACTGAACTGTTCACTCCAGTTTCCTTGATAGGTCTAAACAATTGTTTACTATTGCCTATCACCACCGTCTTTTCCATCCCATTAGCCTTCACGACCCACAACTTTTCGTGGGCGTTGGGTAGAATTTTCGTCAGTCTACATTTTGATTTGTATTCGCTGTTCATTGTGGTTGCAGTTTGTAGGGTTAAATTCGTATGCATCCGTTAATTCAGAAGTTGCTGAGATCCACTGACCCTTTTTAATCACTCTGAGAGTCAGCTACGGTCTTCAGCTGTTTTTACGGCAGACTAGAGGTAACATGGCTTATTTTGAATGAGTGTTCTGTTTTACTAACTATCTATCCAGTTTCTCATCCCTGCTAACATTGTCGAGGTGCACAAGCAAAAGTGTTGTTTCTGCGTCCACTTAGGCGCAGGAAAACACGCTCGAACGAAGGCATGGTTACTGTGCAAACAGGTGCTTCAGAAGGAAAGGTAGTCTCCCACCGACCCACTATAGCGACAACTAGTAACGATGTGGTTTGCCTGTGTCCATCTCTGAATTGAGGCCGGTGGACACCACATCAGACAGTATCTGTCTTTACATCTGAAGTTCGTGCTGGCGAAAAATGTGGTTATCTGAGCACAGTTGTAGCAGATGGTCGCCCGTATCTGTTCGTTTAACTGGGATTCCGAAAGTATCTGTCTGACTTAAAGTACCAACTTGTTCATTGAAATCACCTGCTGTGACAACCACATGTGAACGTTTGGTTTTCGGTGGGTAGCTAGTCAGTCTTCTGTATGACTCATCCTTCTTTGCATCCAAGCTGCCTTTATAGGCGATTGTCAACTGGCATCCCGTCGAGCAATGCACGTTCTACCCTACTACTTAGTGCTATACATACACCTGGAAAAGAACAAGTCATCAAATTTCCAAACAAGCGAAGGATGCATTTTGTAGATTTACTGAGTTAACCGGACGAGATTAAGTGAATAACTTCACTTGTGTCCTGTACGTGTGTTTCACATACATATCAGACATCTGTGACCCGAGACCCTAGGGTTTTGCATCGCAAAACTTGTTCACCATTTTGACGGTGCAGACATTGAAAACTCCGATGTGCAGTTTAGAGAATGGTTTCGGGAGACCAGTTATGCTGTTCCGTGAACTCAAATTGTTGTCAAGAGTTACAGAAGTGGAAGAAATTAAAGATGATGCGGGAATATTCACTGCGAAAAGTGAATGAAGGTTAAGAGTTATGGATGTGGAAGGTGGACAGTGATCTGAGACAACTTGAGTGCAGACAGAGCTCTGAGAGCGGTTGACACTTCCCTGGTGCCCACATCCTGAGAAACTAGTTTTTCTTGATGTACCCGGAAAAGAAGGGCTACTGCGCAGTAGCACAGCCCAAAAAAAGTGTTAGAGGCCGGGCACAAGGTATATTTTAGAAGTTTGTGGTTTTACCTTGTTAGTTCCGACTCTTACTATGAACCCGCGTCACCAGCATCGGCATGCCACAGGGGAGAGGGTTGGGTGTTTTTAAACCCCCCGTTCCCATAAAGAAGGCAGTATCAGTATGACACTGTTGGTCATCTGCGGGAAACACCGCATCCAGCCAGAAGTATGACTTTGTCCTTGAACCCCGTCATAGCGTAGCAATTTACACCATAATGGTAACTGCTTCTTGTCCTGTCACTATCCAACGGACCTTTCTGGTATTGTAGGACCTCGAGGAAACCGGCGTTTCAACCAGTATACCTCATTGGGTTATTATCATATACAAGCCCGACCACCACATCAATGTAGCTGCTATCGATTGGGCCTTAATTCTCTGATTGTTTATGACTACTGATATCGTTATGCTCATTTTTTTAACCTGTACTTTAGTTGATTCTACTTTGACTTTATGTTGTGAGGCATAGCAACTTCAACAGATATGTAATCACGTCGTTTCCTGTATTGTTTGTGTATGTATATTTATCGCATTGAATGTGCGGCTCTGTACATTCTTTCTAGTATCTGTCTGGTGCGCTAACAACCCGATGTAGGATGGTAGGAGAGATGGCTAGTTTTAGGTTTAATGAAGGCGTTTTGAAGCAGTTTTACATGCATTTCTCTAAGTAATCCGTTTGCAGAAGCTGACGCCGTTTAATTAGAGCTGTCAGCGAGTATCAAAGTTTGACACTGAACCAGAGAAAAGCCGTTATTGAAAATTCGAGAACTAATTTCATTCTATTTAGGTGTATCAATAATTTAAATATTTTGTCTTTAGCAGAATTCTACTTTTAGCAAGGCATTATCACTGATCAAAACCAGATTTTTAATCACACCTTGAATCCTTGGTGGAATAACTACTTTGCCCTATCTTGAGATCTAGAAAAAGGAAAGCCTATGCGAAATAATTCAAGTGTCCACCTAAACCGGCTACAGACAGCCATATTTCAGTGATTTTGTTTTCATACCTCAGCAGAGGCGATACTGAATCTCTGTCCGTAAACTGATATCGTTCATCTCTAACCTGTTGGTGGTGGAGTGGTTTGAATCGAAGATTTCGATACTTCCCATCAGTATAGGAAACATGAACTACATCGAACTTCTCTGGGAATTAACAAATGAATTTTTAATTCGACTGAAAAGCATATCCAAACTGGTAATTACGAATAGAGAAGTGGCGATAGATAGAAATGCTTTAAAAATCGGGATATTTCAATTGGAATGCCTATGAAAGTAAGATAAAAGCCGTCAAAAAGAGATCACAAAAGGATTGAGAGAAACTTTCAAGAATAAGTTGACTGGTAACCCCGCTTATAATAAGCTTGAACTCAAAGAATCCTACCTCCTTTTCATATGTGGTCAACTTATAATACATATAAACGAACTTCCTGTAAGGCTAAATTAGATTACGACTGAATTTCCACACCACAGGAAAGCATTTTTCACATATTAAATCACTATCTCAGAGGTTTACTAAGCGTAGTACCATTTGTGTGGGGTGAAATTCTGACTAAATTATGATATGGAAAAGATCACCTCCAAGTTTCTCTCTACGGGAAAAGTTTCAGGAGAAATCACGCCTCTGAAGGATTACAATTTACGTGAATATTTTTCTGTCATGATGGCACATGTTGGAATCTGTGTAAAGTCAGCTGATAAGTTTAATGTTTATCTTTTCAGTTGGATCTAATCTAATACTATTATATTATCTGTATCTCTTTTCTCTTCTTTTAGGAAAGTCCAGAAGATATGCATACCATTGACAGCTGTGAGTATATTTGGCAGTCTGGTGTAGGCTTTGCACAAGTCCCCATAGTAAATGCTGTGCATGATTCTAATCGGACAGAAATTCTTAAACTTATTTTAACCTGTTTTTCTGAGACAATGTATTTGGAACAAGAGGAAGCTCATCGTGCTGAAAATAAATGGGTTACATTTTTAACAAGCACAGGGAACAGACATGCATTGCCATTATTCGCCTCTCTCTTAAATGTCGTATGTGCATATGATCCAGTTGGTCTGGGGGTACCATATAATCACCTTATGTTTCCGGATTCACGTGAACCTCTGGTTGAAGTGGCTCTACAAGTATGTAAACTTTATATGTATACGGCTTTCCTTATTTTGTGGTAGTTGCTGCGTACATAATTTCTGTTTTGGTAGACTAACTGATTCGAATATTATATTTGTGATCCGTTTGGATGGTGGTGTATAACAACTAGGATATGAATTTACTTCCTCCCTTCGTCTATTCTCACATATATATGTTTCTGATTCCACGTTGGTGTTTACTTTATATGTAAGGTGTGGTCATGGTTTGGCTTCTAGTTCACACTTGACTTCAATTTTTAGAGTGACTTTGTTGTCCACATCATAATGTTCATATTTGAAAAATGAAGATAACTATCTCTGCAGCTAGAGGTGTATATAAGATTAGTTCAGACTTTTACCTGTGATATGAATTTAATATAATTTAAATAAATATTGTTCTTTTCAGTTTCGTTTGTCAGAAGAATATCAAGTGGTCGTTCTGTGATTTTTGAAGACTGATTGACTGACCGACTGACAAAATCAGCGTAGAACCTCGCACACGGGTACATCGGCTCGAGTTGCTACACTTCACAATAGTACACAAAAAGCAGGTGGATGGAAAATGAGTAATATCAAAATAGATAAAGTTGTGCGAAAGAATAAACAATCTGAAGATAAAGGTCAGTGTGAATTTCTAGGCTTTAGAAGATGTCAAGGAGTGAATACATGTGCACCATTGTAACCGATTTTCAGCTACGTCACTAACAGTCCTCAACCACTGATTTCGTTCGTCTCGGAGACCCCAAACAGGTAGTCGAAATCTCCCCACCAACAGTCGGGGACTTGATCAACTGGTACCAGTTCTTGATCTGACTACCCTGAACTCTCTTCCAACATAATCCAACTTTCATTAGCATGACACGTCGAGATATGTGGTGAATCGGCATTCTTGAAGACTAACAATCGGAAAATGTAGTCTGGTCATCTAGCTAAAGGATCCAGTTCGATATTCTAGTGCTCTTTTAATCATAAACAAATTAGTTGAATTTGTTTTGATATAGTCCGTCCCTCTGTGGCATATTTCTCATGAAACTCACCTGTACAAATTTAATTTACTTGTAGATTCTTTGTATAACCTTGGAACCTGATTCTATGATATCCAGTCCTACTTACTCAACTACATCGTTTGGTGATTTGAACTCACCACACAGTCATCTGTGTTCAGATGCCGATGAACAGCTTAGTTTGAATGGGACTGCAACGATTAGTCAGAACAGTGGAGCAGGAGATGTATGGAATAATGAAACGAATCTGTTTGTAAATTATATGTCACGTATACATAGAGATGAGGTGAGTTCCTAATCATCTTTAGTTTTGTCATTTTTGTAGTAATCCATTTGAGTTGTGAAGCCAGAAAGGCTCTTGATAGAAACACTAGGATACTGCGAATTTCAGTGAAAGTACAATGAAATCAAAAATAAGCGCTTATTTGAATAAATGACCTACAATTGAGTCTATGATGGATTAATCATGTTGGTGCTTGTGTTAATTAAAGCAGGGATGGAAGTGTTGCTAACGGCTATGAGTAGCGAAATCACTGAAGACCACAAAGCAACGGGCTTCGGCTTCAAATCCAGTTCCATCTACTTTGGTGTGAGCAACCGTGTAGCGTAAGAAGCACCAAAATACAAGGAGATGTAAATGTATTCACATTTTTCTTCTTAGCCGTGAACATATTAATATTACTACTATTAGTTTCCATGTGCTTTTCTCCGTTCCATCCAGTTTCTTCTTTTTCATCCCAAGATATTTCTACTGCTGATTTTCTTATTTCCTTCCGCAGTAGTGTCGCATTTTTGTTCGAGGTTCTATTCACTTGTGTTGAATATAATCGATTATACAGTCACTTAAATGATAAGCACCTAAACTGTATTGTCTTTTGAGTTTTGAGGGAGTTGTGGAGATTTGGAAATATTTCAAGTTGTTATTCGTCGTAGACTGACATCAGTTGGAGGAACAAAGGAAACCTGGGAGCACTGGACAGCTATTTCTTCCTAGTACGGGATTCCTCAGCAGTGCGCACCCACGACCCCGCCAGGGCTCGAACCCGCGACCTTCGGGTTCCGCGGCCAGCGCGTTACTATTGAGCTAGCCACTGGGTCAGAATCCAACCGTCCATATTCCCAACTTCTGTTAGCTCACGATATAGCGCAACCGCCACCCAATGTCATCGTTGAATAACTGTCTTCACGATCATCAGCCTTTGCCCCTCAAAATTCAACTGAACTGGTGCTCATTGGTGACTAGCTTCGAGAGGTATTCCCGAAGTTCCAATGAGAAGTCGTGATAGGTGGGGGCTAAGCTGAGGGGTCCTATACTAGGACGAAACAGCTGTCCAGTGCTCCCAGGCTTCCTTTGTTCCTCCAACTGATGTCAGTCTACGGTGAATAACTTGATGTATTGTCTTTGTTTATTTCTAGTCTTTAACTTACTGATTTCCTACTGACACTTGGCTTGCCTCAATTTCTTAACAGACAGCTATCAATCATGTTATAATATGCAGCTTTGATGACTGTAATTTTAACAGAAACCTTTATCATCTAGCAAATGTCTAAACGAATGTGTTTTATTTATCTTTATAGGATTTTGCATTTATTCTGTCAGGAATAAATCGACTACTAAATAATCCACTAACTCAAACTTATCTTCCGGGATCCAGTAAAAAGGTTCAAATGCATCAAGAACTTTTGGTATTCTTTTGGCGAATGTGTGAATGCAATAAGAAGTTTATGTACTATGTGTTAAAGTCGAGTCAAGTTTTAGATTTAGTTGTGCCTATTCTATATCATCTCAATAATTCTCGTAATGATCAATGTGAGTTATTAAGTATGCTTATTTTTTTGTTTGTAAAAAGTCTACGTTTAAAACTTGTTCAAACATGAATTGATCTGTCAATCTTAATGAGAACCAGGTTCATTCATTTTAAAGAGATTTAAGCAGTCAATTAGTATAATTCGTAGGGCTTTATATGATAGAATTTTAAGTGGAATGACGTATATTAAGTCTGCAGTAATTGGTCACTGAAGAGTAATTGATTTCATCTTGTCTAGTCCTAAGTGTTGACTGAGTTCTGTCGATCATTTCGTAGTGTAATATGTCGGGGTGTATTCTAATGAATGTCAGATAGTTGAAGGGAATCAAAGGGAAGTCATGGACCTGTGTTTCGGGCTTGTTGGTACTTGTCAGCAAGTCGTATCTACAACCTCGATAGAACTGATATTCTCTCAGGAATTTGTACACGTGTTACAGTGTTACCACCAAGCTATTTAGCCCGTGGTTTGCATCCTGTAGGACTGGATTAAGTACATTGATTAGTCATTGGTGGTAAACCAATTTCATGTCTAGTCGTGAGCGCTGACTGACTTCTATCGATTGTTTTGTAATGTGACCACTTAGCAAGGAGGCTCAGCATCACGGTGGACTCTGATTAGTTTTAGATAGTTGGAGGGAATTAGCAGGAAACTCTGGAACTGGGCCTGGACCTAAGGGGACTGTTACGTATTTGATAGATTTTGGAGAAAATTGTTATGAATACACTCAATGCATTGTTTACGTTGTGATGTGCTTAATACTTTTTAAGTTTCATGATTGTTGACTTTGTTTGTTAGAAGTTTTGTTTTGCTTTTATTGTTGGTAGTGACCACGACGTTCCTTTCTGTTTGATAGTTGCACTTTTTTCGTTTAGTCCATAAACCTGTCTGATTGACGTAAACTAAAATTGTACTGATGACAATCGAACATTGTTTTCCCACTTGTGCATCAGTCAAGTAGTCAAAAGATACTTTACCGAATGCACACCATCTTAAATGTTTGAATAACAGTAAGAAATATGTGATGAATTACTTATGCCCCGATCGATAGCTTCTATCTTGACGTGGTGGTCGGGCTTGCATATTAAAATGACCCAACGAGCTATGCTGGTGGAACGCTTGTTCCCTCGAGGTCCTATCATACCAGAAAGGTCTGTTGGATAGTAGTGAGACGAAAAGCAGTTGCCGTTGTGGTGTAAATTACTACACTATGATGGGGGTCTGAGGGCGAAGTCGTACTGCTGCTAGCTGGATGGGGTGTGACAGCAGTAAGGTGTTTCCCTTGGATGACCAGTAGTGCCATGCTGATGCTGCCTTCTCAGTGGAAAAGGTGGAGGAGGGGTAGAAAAGGTCGGTCCCAGAAATAACACACTCCACCATGCTCCACGGCCTGCTGGGCAGGCGGCGTTGGTTAATTTGTCGTTTCGTTTCAACCATCCGGCCCCGAAAATACAAAAGTTCAAAATAATCCTACTTATGTAGATTTATGCTTTCATCGTCTATATTCTTACGTATTCCATACAATCTAAGTGAATATATTTTTATAACTTTGTTGACTTCAGGAAAGCGTCAACCAAATCGGTTGAAACTACTGTAGATTCTGAAAATGTGGCGAAAAAATGTAAATGTTATCAATAAAGAGACAAGTTTTATAGCAGATAGACATCACTAATGTAGTGGGCGTTGCTGATCAGAATGGATATAAGTTGTATATGTTGAGAGGGTGGCAGAAACCACGGGGAATTACCGGGAATGAATAGAGATTCTGTCCAAAGAAACGCAAGAGATAATGTGAGCGTATTAAGAGCAAATCAAGATAGAAGCAGAAGAGGAAATGAAGCACATTATGCAAATGACTGTCATTGATAACTACCGTACAAGATGTCAATGATAAACATTCCTTCCTGAGTCTCAGTCTTCTCGTTTCCTTAACTGATACAAAATAATTCAGTTGAAAACAGTTACTCATTGGAATTCTTTCCAAACCAGTCATCACCTCACAGTTACGTATTAGTTTTTTTCTGTTGTGGGTAGCATACAGAGAATATATATTTCTTGGTACAGATTAGTGGTCACTAATTATGTGCACTGATTGAGATGCGAAGGTTGACAGTGCACAACTTACCTCGTAATGATTGCAAAAGTCATGTTGTCAATAATCCTTCTAGCTCACATTAGATTGACGTTTTCAACAGATTCGTAAAATGTAAGGGTGCTATTTGTGAAACATCCTCAACCTACTCAATTTTATTCACCGAAGCAGGTTAAACCTCAGTCTTTTGGCAGAAGAAAAAAAGGTATAGTATTGTTTTCTGGGACTGTGGTCAGGTCAACTTCATTACTTCTAAGCTATTCCGACTACATTGACTTCGCTAATAAGATGTAATCAAGTTTTTATCCTGTTTGTGAAAATCTCTGTAGTTTGTCTCTATGTTTGTCTTTTTTTTTGTAGCACGAATGGGATTAATACATGTGGGCGTATTTATCCTATTGTTACTTAGTGGGGAAAGAAATTTCGGTGTACGTTTAAATAAACCTTATCGTCATCGTTCCTTGATGGATGTACCAGTATTTACTGGGACACATGCTGATTTATTAGTTATAGTAAGTGGTGAATAATCATATGAACTTTTTATTCGACATTCTTTAATTTGTTAGCTTATGATTACAGATGTTATCGGGAAAATTGAAATAACATTTCTTTCTGTTTCATAGATTTAAACGTAAACTATGACTCACTAGGCTCTAGATACTTAAATTCCAAACAGAGTGAGTCAAAGGTTTAAACATCGCTGCACTTACCAAATTTTGACAGCTAAGCAGTTTCACTAGTTCTCAAACAATAGGTATTACTCATTACCTAGTAGAGGAACCTGGATATAGTTTCTGAGTTACATAGCTAGATGTTACTCTATTGTAACTGGTACAGAAAATTAACGCAGAATAGTCGAATCGAGATGGATTCAGCAACCATGTGCACATTCATTAAGTAAGCAATGAACTGTATCTGTCATACAAGCGGATGATACTACTTGGATGCCTAGACTCTTATAAATGGATTGGATTTCGAATGTACGACCCAGTGATTGGAAATTGAATGCCTAGTCAATAAGCCACAGCTCAACTGTGCATTAGTGACACCAGTTGACTGTTATTCATTGTGATAGACTGTTCAAACTTAATTCTATCTACTTCGGTGTGGATGTTTAGAAAGTGTATTTCATTCGAATATAATGGGTATTACTTTTTAGAGGTCATTGCATTGTATTTTTAAGAAAAATTTAGTTGAGCGATGGGTTCAATATAGTCATTCATATAGTTGTATATTACAAATATTACAAATAAATATACACTGTGATCTACAGAAGTTGACTTCGTCAGTGATTAATAATTCTGCTTACAGATTTATGACTAAAAAATGTTTATATCATAAGATTTAAAAATTTATGTTACATGCTAATCAACAGCCTAGCGCATCACACTATTATGTTTGAATGGATGAATATTGGAGCTGATTATCACTAGGGAGTTGACTTATGACCGGTGGTTGTCCATTATATTTTGTTATTTGTATTTCCCAATGAATGTAAAACAAAATTGTTATGATGCAAAGTTGTGAGAACGAAGGAAAATACTTAACGATTGGTAGTCAAGGATTGTTTCAACTTCAATACTTAAACCTCTACAAAAGCACCGAGAAAACACAATAAAGTATTCACTTGATTTTAAATCCGAAATTTCCTCACTTAAAATTGAGGCAGATGACATTATGGTAAGGTATGACATTAATTTCTTATATACTAGTATTCCAATTTATGATAGCCTAGATATTATTTCTAATTTATTAGACTCAGACATGTCAATGACAGAAAGATGTCCACTGAATACAAGTGACATCATTAAGGCCCTGAAATTCCGCTGAGAGACTACATGTAGAGGAAAACTATACAGGCAGACTAACGGTGTTGCTATGGCTTCACCTGTTTCACCTAGAGTAGCTAACCTATTTATGAGTAACTTTGAAGGAAGTGTCTTCACTCACTTACTAAAACCAGAAATTTGGCCGAGATATGTTAATGACACATTCATAATTTTAAAATGCGACTTATACCAGGCAATCTTAGGTCCACTGACCTCTAGATCTACCAGTATCAAGTTCCACTCGGAAAAAGAAACGATTAAGTGGGAACTGCTTTTCTTTGATTGTCTTGTTAAGCGGAAAGAAAATGGATATCTTAGTGTTACCATTTTCAGGAAAGCAACTCTTTGGAACAACTATTTAGATTTCAACTGATCACATCCAATTACTGTGAAAGTTTCTGTTGCTTCCAGTCTTTTAAGGAGAGCACACACTCTAGTAACGAATGTAAATGAAAGAGTTAAGGAATTAAAATATGTGCATAAACTTAAAATGAATAATTATGCGGTAAAATTCAATCTCATAATAGAAAATAACATTAAATTAGATCGTAAAACTACTAAATCATGGGCCTCAATAATAGTTATTCCCTACAGATCACACACAGGATGAAATTAGAAGAGTGCTCAAAAGATGCAATATTGGAGTGTTCGATAGAACATCAAACAGATTGCACAGCATCTTAGTTCATTTGAAAGATGAGATCTCTCTAGATTCACAATCTAATTGTGTTCATAAAGTAAAATGTTCAGACTATGATGTAATATACATAGGACAGAAATCGAAGTTAAGAAAAATGAACAGTGAATACCTTCCACCTGACCGTCTGGAAATCCAGTGGGATTGAAAAACCTTAAAACTACATCAGCCATAGCTCTACATCCCATAATTTGAAGTCAATAAGGTCGATTTTGACAATATGGAAAGTATTCAGAAAGGCTTTAGAAATTATAAAGATCGTCTCATATCAGAATCTGTTCATATGAAGTGGAATCAAAATTGTCTCAATGGGAATGAGGGAGTAAAACGTAGTTTCATCTGGTCTCAACCCACCTCCACATACTGATGTAAACATCGTACATCATGGCGATAACAACTATCAACACATGTATACATACAAATCTCAATCTGTAATTCATACACTGTTCACACAAACACAATATACTATGCATGGATATCATCTTTATTCTACAATTCTGACAGCGCAGAATCATTCATGCAGAAGAGTACTCGTCAAGTTATCATATATAAGCTTAGGGGATATTGTAAATTCAGGTTAACTATAACTTTGATAAAGTTATTAGCACTAAGTAGCGAAACGTCAGTTGAAACAAAGTCATTTTGTGTTACATTCTCATTGGGAAATATAAATACCGAAAGGATAAATATTATTCACCGAATGCCCAAGCGTTTTTAAACCATCAAATCCCAACTTGGTTTAAATATTTATAGCCGACAGGTTACAGGCTCCTGCTTACTCTATTTACTGATGTTTAAGTGGTCATGTAGTATCATTCATTGCCAGACAATGATTGTGGCACATGGTCTGAACTCAATCCTTGAGGAAGTAAAGCCTTTTTCCGAGGGCAAATGGAACCCAAGTAGTGTTATGCACCTGATCTTATCAGGTAACAGTATTAATTTTGTAAAGTATATATCCTTCGGTTATCTAAGTGTTTGACTACAAGTGTTTGTTAGCATGGATATAACATTAAGTCCTACGAAAGAAGGGAGTACTTTTAATTGATTCCTTGTTGACAGTCACCTTTATACTGTATGAATTAACATTGCAGTGAATATTCAAGAGATTTATGATACAAATGAATATCATTTCATAATCTCTCTATCTATCACTTTTATGTATGTGAATAACTATTCATATTTTTATTAAAGGTTTCTCATAGATTGATTACAGCTGGGCATAATCGTCTAAATCCCCTATTCGATTGTTTGTTAACAATCATAGCTAATGGTAAGTTAATGTCTGTGTATTATGAAGAATAATTAAAATGCTCATCATCGCTAAAAGTTTAGTCTCTTTGTCACCCTCTTTTTTGTTGTTGATGTTTTTAATCACTATGGTGAGTATTTGTGGCTCAAAGTCTGGATGTTCATAGTGAGTTTTTTTTTATAAGTTTGGGTTTTACTTACTTCCAGCTAAAACTCTAGTTCAGAGAATGACGTACTCTGAATATTTTCAACCATGTTTTATATAAAATGGTTGGTGTTTGATATAATTGATGCACGTGTGTGCAAGGTTCTACGCTGATTTTACCAATCAGTCAGTTGATATAACCGATGCTCAACGATTTCTTACGGTATGCTGTGTCAATGAAAAAGAAAGGGAAGTCCCTGTAGCGTGATATATTTAATACACATAACATTCGATAACTGGATGGTAGCCTGTGTCGTCATATCAGCCCATAAAAGTAGAAGTTATGAAAAGTCAATATGTTAATATTAGTGCTCAAAAATTGTTGTCAGACAATCAGAAAAGGAGATTAAGTTAATAAAAAGCCTGATATTGCAATTTATTTGAAGATAGAACATGAAATTATCCGCACCAGTGTGATCAATTTTAAGCTAATTCGTCCGGAGTCTCTCTCTAATAATCTATTTCTTTTGTTTCATGTATCTACAATAAAAAACTTGCATTGTTCAGATCAGTAGTCAGGGCTTAATAAAGATAGTTGGTAGGAAAATCTGATTGTTTGAAGGATAAGTTTACAAATTCTAAGGTCAACGTTGTTATGAAGCAGAGTTGTAGGAACGAACGAAAATACTTAATAATTGTTAGTCGAGGGTTGATAGGATTCAACCCGAGTCATTCACAGAGAGAAATCAAAAAACTGGAAATCAGATGAGTTTATAGTATCTCGGACTGAAAATGTTTATTAGTAAAAACGGGTCCTATTGTAATAACCTTGAAGGACAAAGAACATTTAGTACAGTTAAGGAGGTAGGAGCCAATCAGAATGCTAGCGGGTCATACGAAATATGATCTATGGGCGGGAGAAAGCGCGAAGTAAAACAGTTCAAATATACCCAAACTGTAAGTATGGATTATAAGGGATATAGGCATCCCTAACAGATGTTACCTTTAAGGATTTAACCGGCTTCATAGTCAGAAGGGAGCAGATAAATTGTTTGACTAATTTATTTAAATGGGTACCGGAAACAATGTCCTGATTCGGAGTAATAGTAAAATCTTATGGACAAGGATTTTACATGGATTTCAGTAAATTAATTTGACAATTAAAAGAGTCCTGGTCACTTCTTTACATATAACTACTAAATTATGATTTTTAAATGCTTTTTACGTCTTGGTATTTATAGGGAAGAAAAAGTTTCATCACGGCTTGATGATAATATCACTATCATGGATCTTATAGGAAAATGCTTGTTATAGAAGATGTCTTCCGTGAAATATCAGAGCTTAGAACATACCAAATAGTTGTTATCTTTATTGTGAACTGTTATTCTTCTCTGTTATAGCAATTAGTTTATATTATTATTCTAAGGAATTTTGAAAGGTTTAGATATTTAAAGTCAATCCATAGAAAGCCGTGATTCTCCTAACCTGTTAGTAACGTCATTTGGGTTTATCTACAGCCTTGAAGACATAATGTCCTCTTGATGATTTGAACCTGTATTTGTTCAGCATTGAAGTCTGAGAAAGTTAACTTGATGACATTTAATCGAAATACACATCCAGTCACCTTTATCGACAACTCAATCAAATGAGTCACAGAGATGATGCTGCTTTTTGTTATCTACAAGCATCTACATTCATATCATAGACCATTTTGATAATAAATGGAGATAAATATTTGCTCAGTTTTGCGTATTGCATTGAGCAAAATGAAGCATCACATGGGATTATTCATCATTCTATAGTGTAATGGGTTTTCTTGTAGTTATTTCACAGAAAAAAAATTTGCTTAAGATCCGTAGAGAATACGATATAAATATCAAAGAAGTATTCATTATAGACTGAAGAACCATTGGAAACTGGGGAGTACTAGACAGCGGTATCGTCCTTAGATTAAACTCCCCCACCAGTGTGAACTCACAAGCCGGTGGACTATGGGGCCTAGAGGTATCAAGTCTTGTAAGAAGCACATCATCATCCAACCACTTGTTATAGTCTATTGGTTAATATTTTCCTACTTCTGTCAGTTTACGATATAATATGACTATCATTTAATGCCATCGGCGAATATTTATCCTCAAACTCGACTTGGTCGACTTCATACTGTTTTTTAACATCCGAGTTAGTTTCCATTAAATAATACTGTCAAAGTCACCGATCAAACTAGCTGACTAAATAACGCATTAACAAACGCAATCATGTTGATAAGCTGTTCATTTTTATCTATTTGGGATAAGTGAGTAGAGGCGTGTCAGTTCTGTTTCACTGCACCTTTCTGGTAGACCACTGTATAACAAAAGCTACAACAGATGATCAACTGAAAGAAAATACACACTTTACCTTGAAATCCAAGGGCATTAAAAGATCATTTCTCTACGTCTGTTAGTTGTCACGTATCTACAGTTTCTCTGAAATTATAATGATTTATTATTTATTAATGGAGAATACAGTAAATTAGTTTTAAAATTACCTGAAATATAAGAACTGTAACTTTCCAATAGTCAGATTCTTTGCAGTCCTCCTAATATGTACTATTTTTGTGTTTACCATATGTTCTTTGTAAATGAAAAGTTTTTTCTGAATCCTTTATGCACTTCTTAAATCTGGTTGTTCTACAGTCTAATGTAAGCATCTTTTTTTTAAAGCAAATTTCTCACATCAATAAGTTGGGGGTATTTACTGTGTAACTTAAAGTGTTCGAAATCAATTAGTTGATTACTTCAGTATAACGATAATCTATGTCACAATGGTAGTGTTTTACTGTTTTATTATCAAGATATCTGATAAACCACCATTATTTTTTTCCTTTTTACTCTATTAATTTTACTCGCAACTGCTTCAACATTACGGTTTTAGTGCCATAAACCTTTATCAACCTCATTCAACAGCTACATGACAACGCCACATGCCAAGTAATTCACAATGGAAAGCTCAGTGACATCTTTAAAGTAAAGACAGAAGTAAGACAAGGTTACCGCCTACTATCACCGATGATCCTCCTGATTATGGTGAACTGGATCATGCAACAAACAGTGAGGAGCGAGAAGATGGACATACGCTGGACCTATGAAAGACCCTAGAAGATTTGGATTTCGCCGATGACTTGTGTCTAATGTCGCACAAAAAGTAACAAGTTGACAGAAGAGGCAGGGCAGCGAAGACGGGACTTCGAGTGAACGTAGAGAAGACAGAGGTGATGAAGATACCCAACCAACAACAACAACAGCAAGCATAAATCACCACTAACGGGAGAAACCTAAAGGAAGTAGTATCTTTCACCTACGTAGTCAGTATCGTTTCAACCACAGGCGGCGGTGGCACAGATGAGGACGCCAAAGCCAGGATCAGAAAGACAGCAAGACAGGTTTTCACTAATCTGAAATAATCCGTGTAGAGATCTGCTGCACTCAGTATCAAGAACAAGATCTGGATACTCAACACTAAGTCAGTGCTATATGATGGTTGAGAGACTTAGCGCGTCACGAAAGGCATTTCCAACAAACTGCAGACATTCATCAACAGCTGCTGCCTACGCTTGATACTGAAGATCAGATGACCAGTATAATAAGGATAAGCAACAAGGAATTTTGGCTGGGGACGAACCAACTAAGAACTCATCGCCCAAGAAATATGCAGAAGAAAGTGGAGATGTATTGGATTGGACATACACTGAGAAGACTGATTGGGAACATTACGCGTCAGACCGGGCCCTCGAGTGTAATTCAAAGAGGAGACGAAGAGTTGGGCATCCGAGGCGAGGGTGACATGGAGGAGATGGTGTGAGGAATAAATGGGAGCTTATGGACAGTTGTGGAGCCAGGTTGAAAAGACTGGAGAGAAGAGAGTGAAATAGCGATGGTGACGTGCTACTGAATCACTATGTTTCACTAGAAACCCAAGGGACAAATAATAATAATAATATTTTTCACTTAAACTTGTAATATCCTGTCGTTTTGGTGGGTTGAATTTTTCGACCTCTGTTAACAGATGGGCTCGTCTGCTGATGCCTCGATACTACCGTAATATTTATTAGGTTGTAGTGGGAACACCATCTATCCAACTGATAACTCTCAATTAAGAGGAAACGCGCGTCCTAGACTCCATCGCTAACCAGCAGGTTAACTATAACTCACCATAAGTTCCAACCGAAGAAATTCGTAGACAACATGTACTGGATATGTAGTTTGTGGATGAACGCCTAGTAGCTGGATAAATAAGCATGCATTTATCTCTTTGGCATATCTCATCACATTGAACTCCATGTTAAATAACTAGTTATCTCAAAATCATCTAATATTCGCGGCCTATACTAACTTACAATCTGTTTGGAGAGTAGAGTAGATGTTCAGTGGGTCGTGGGTTCGAACCCAAACGCAACTACCGTGGTTTGGGCAACCAGGTGGTATCATTAACCCTCACGGATGTATACAAGACTAAGAGTAGATGTGTTAATGTTTGTTATTTAGATTAGTGTCTTCTTCAAACTTGTCCGCCCTAACATTTGTTGCATTATTTGTCTTTGAGAAAAAGTAATAGTTTTTTTTATCCTTTGGTCAACAAATATCACTATTATTATTGTCTATACTTTTGCCAGTTATTAATTTATTCGTACTTTTTTCTTTAAAAATTCCTTTATGAACAGTTTCTCCATATGTAAAAAGTTTATCCATGGTATCATCAAACAAATTGTTGCATTTATTGGATGCTTTCAGTCAGCCTTGGTTCTTGTATAGCAGTCCATCTAATCATCAGTTAGTGTTTCTTTTATTGGAAGTGTTCAACAATATCATACAATATCAGTTTGATGGTATGTGAAGTTTGTATACGTGTATCTGTCTCACTTTTTTTTATTCTCATATGAATATAGTTTTCTTTATTGTGTGATGTCAGTCCTATTCAAAAATTGTGTGAAATGCTTGATGGAACTGTAGCACAATGGACTAGACATCTGGTTATTTCTTATCCACCTAGAAAGGTTTAGGCGCTTAGGTAGTTTTGTTTGTACTCACACAACAAGCATGGTATATAGTCTTGTAGAAAAAGCTGTATTAAGTTAGTGAGGGATTTGTTCCAAATAAGGTTGTTTTAGTCACTGCTTGTGCTAGCATTGTTCGCATATGCTAGAATTACCGTGTGAGCAATGTTGAAGTCAAGGGAAGGGTACTAGACTGGATGAACAAGTCAGTTGATGAGGTTCCAAACCTTAGTCGACTGAATTGACTTGGACATATGTTGTATATACTGATCCCTCGCCTACCTCGACGTGCCGTTGTAGTGGAAGTTGGGAGAGGGTTCAGGGTGGCCAGACCAAAACGTGGTACCAGCCGATGAAGTCCCTGACTGTTGATCTGAGCCGTATGTAGGAGATGTAAACTACCTGACTGGGTTCTCCGAGATGATAGGAGTCACAGGCTAAGGATTCTTTGTAACATGACTGAAAGTCGGTCACAAGGGTGCAGATGTATTGCGTTTTTGACGCCTTCTAAAGATTGAGTGTTTGCACTAACCTTTATCTTTAAGTTGTTTATTCTGTGACACAACGTTGTCTACTTCGATATCACTCGGTTTCTATCCACCTGTTCTTTGTGTACTATTGTGAAGTGTGGCGACTTAAACCCATGCTTTGTGTCAGTTCCTACGTTGATTCTGTCTATCTGTATAGTAACACCATCGGTAACTACAAAATATTACAGTTTTTCATTGTTTCACCACACCAGTAACGTGAAAGTCAGGTGTAGAGTTTTTAGGGAGAAGAGGCAAGTTAGTTGGTGAGGTTATAGCTTTTTATCGACTCAGATAATTGGGACATGTTTTACGCACGCCCAGTTATCGTCTGCCCCGTGGCATAAGGCTAGCTGAAATAGGTTTAGGCTGGAAAAAAGTCATAGGTGACTAGACTAAAAACATGATATCAGTGTATGAAGTCTTTGACAATTAATCTTAGCTGTTTAAGGGAATGTAGACTTCCTGGTTGAGATCTTCTGCACTCAGCATGCGGAACAAGATACGGATTTTCAACACCAACGTCAAGTCAGTGCTCTTGTATGGCTCAGAGACTTGGCGCGTCACGAAAGGCATTTCCAATAAACTACAGACATTCATCAACAACTGCTTACGCTCGCTGCTGAAGATCAGATGGCCAGAAAAAATAAGCAACAAGGAACTCTGGGAACGAACCAACCAAGAACCTATCACGCAACAAATATGCAGGAGGAAGTGGAGATGGATTGGTCATGCACTGAGAAGGCCGACTGAGGACATCACGCGTCAGGCCAGGCACTCGAGTGGAATCCCCATGGGAAGCGACGAGTTGGGCGTGCGTGGTGAGGGTGACATGGAGGAGGTCGTGCGAGGAGGAAATGAGAGGTTGTGGGCTGTCGTGGGACCAGGTTCAAAAGATCTCAGAGAACAGAGGTCACTGGAGGCGTGCTACTGAAGCCCTATGTTCCACTAAGGAACCCAAGGGACTAATAATAATAATAATAATAATAATAATAATAATAATAATAATAGTAATAATAATAATAATAATAATAGACTTCCTGGTTGATGTCCATGTGACAACAGAAATCAGTGGTCACAGACTCTAGATAACATGACTCATAATCGATGCCAGTGGTGTGGATATATCCACACATTACCTTCATCATAATCATTGCACTGAATTTCAGTAAACTTTGATTCCTCCTTGGTCTCTTTGTACTACTTTCTACCCCTCTTGACTGGCCTCTCCTTTACTTTTTGTCTTTCATCTTGCTACATTCTCGCTGAACAAGGTTTTAGGTTATTGCATTTACATTTTTCATTTATTGTGTAACATTTGTCATCCACTATGGATAGGTACAGGGTGATGTATGAATGTCTCCATACTACTATGAAAAACATTCTAATTGTATTTGAATAACCACGACTACTACTGGATGCCAGTTTTATAGACTTCAATATATTTTGATATCGGTTGACTTGGTGTGACGTTTCTCTTAATATAGCACCAATTGTTCAGTACTCGAATCACGTACAATTAATAATTAGTCTAGGCACTTGTCTTCCAACCGATAGATCATATGTTTAAACGCCCAACGAATTTTAAGCAGCCAGGTAGTATCATTATCCTTCACGCAAAATTCGTGGCTCATTACTCACTGCATGGATATGCACATGGTTGCTGAGTGCATTTCAATTTTTCTTCCTTTCTATTTCTGACTACTGTGAAATTGTTAATAAACTATTCCATCCTGTAATCTTATTATTTACTAGCTGACGCTGGAAAGGTTTGGATAGCAGGTACTTCATTGTTCATTAAATGGGAATCGATTTCATGCATTATCCAGTGACTCATATCCAAATGAATGTAATCTGGTTAACCGGTTGACATTGCTAACCATCATAATAGTTCAGATATACAAACTTGTAGATAAATCTATTTCTTCTGGTCGTTGAATTACTTCATACAACTTTTTTCTCAGTTAGCTGAACATGATTCTTGGTTATCATCCAATCAAGTTGTTGTTGTCACATACTTTTGTAAATTTTCTCTGACTTACGTGGGTTAGGATTAACTGCATTCTTAGCTGCTACATACTCCGATGCATAATGCCTGAATTAGGATCAGATTCAAAAAGAAGCTTAGTATGACCAAGCTAAGATGTAGCGTCAGTCCATAAAGTCTCTGGTTGGCGTACTCAGCGATACATGAAAGTGTACGGTTCGATTTTTTAAGGTGCTAAGAATCAACAGATGACGTTTAGTGTTGTGAGTTAACGTATTTAATCACTGTTCTTTTTTGTCTTTCCTTAATTTCCTTTATTTCTAGTATGTGAAATAACTTACTGTGATCTCTTTTCTTTTTTATACACATTTTTATCAGGTAACAGTAACTTAGTTTACACTTTGATTAGAAAACGTCAAATATTTTATCGATTAGCCAACTTACCCACTGATCAAGCCAGCATTCATGGCATAATTAACAAGCAAACCAAATCTCAAGGTGGAGTTTATACTACAATAGATAATACTAGTGTTTCATCTCGAATGTCTGCTGCTGAGATTAGAAAATCACAATCGAACGAATCTTCGACTTGCAAACCTTTATCAATTACAGAAACATCAAAATCAAGTTCTTCTAATCATTCACCAATAGACTCAGTTCATCCTGATGATGATACCGTAAACTCGATTGAGTCTACTGACCAAGTATCTCAGGTTTGAATATTTATATATATATATATATATATATTGGTGTATAGATTATAATATATTTGTTTATCATTTGACTATATGAGATAGCCGTAGTTTGGCATACTAGTATTTATACTGGGTGATGATTAAAGATGAGACGAAAATCTGGACCGCGTCGGGATTCGAATCAGCGACCACTGGGTTACCGGCCCAATGCTCTACCAACTGAGCGATGAGGTCCGACTACTGACCAGAATTTTATTTCACTTCACTTGGTAGTCGGGCAAAACCCTTGGTGGTTGAAGTGAAATAAAATTCTGGCCAGGAGTCGGACCTCGTCACTCAGTAGGTAGAGCACCGAGCCAGTGACCCGGTGGTAGCTGGTTTGAATCCTGCCGCAGTCTAGATTTTCATCTCACCAATCATCATCCAGTATGAATATATTTGTATCAAGTGAGTGTTTTTGCATAGGTATGATGATTAGTACTAATCAGCATATATACAGGATTTTCACTAGCGGAGATTTCTAGCCTCCATGAATTCCTGTATTTTCGTTGTACTCCTTGATATGGTTAGTTTTATTTTTAGGTATTCATTGTTATGATGATAGACAAACAAATCTGTGATAGGCTGGAGGGAATATGGCTGATAAAATCCTGAACACCTAACGATTAGGTGGTTAGAGGCAATTAGCAAGAAGTTCTAAGCTTTAGTTTCGCCATTAGTAGTACTCGTCATCATCATCGGCGTCAATTCTCTCGAGTTTGTGGACAGGTTTTGTGGATGGACGTCAACAAGCTCCAAATCTTTGTGTTGATTGCCTTCATTGTGTTGCTGATTCTTCCAGCTTAATGTTCAGACCGCAATGATATATAGAATTTGATCAGTTCTTATAAAGAAGGGGAATGAAATGGGTTACTAGTTGGTTGGAGGCAATCGACAGCAAGGCGTATCTGCAACCTCGACTGAACTGATGTCCCACCTGAGATTAGAACCCGCGTCACCCAATGTTGTAGTCAGTGACTTTACCACTGAGCTATTCAGGCAGTGATTGACTTCCTGTAGGACTGGGTTACATGTATTGATTAGTCACGGGAGTACAACCAATTTCATATGATCGGATAGGATTCGGCCTGCACTTAGGATTAGACAACATGTAATTGGTTGTACTCCCGTAACCAATCAATACTTGAAATAGGTTACTCTCCAGTGACCAGTGAGTGGTGACGATGTCAGTTTCAATGGAAGAAAGAAATCAGATGATAAATGTCTATATATTGGTATTATAATTAACAGAACCATCGCATGAAACTTGTAGGCTCAAATGTGAAGTTTCAGGCTTCATTGAGCATAATATCAACTTTTGAGGCAACAACTTAGGATATAAGTTTTTGTATAAAGTATTCAGAATACTGGAATCCCAATGTGGAATTCTTATTCTTATGAAAAATGTTTGTGAATAGACGCCTATGCATTAGGAGATATCTTCGGAAATTAATGAGCAGTTTGTCGTGTAAATATTCCGTTTCGCACTTACTGACTTGCTTCATCGACAAGATATCTGACTGTCTGTTAAAAGACGAGTATACTGAACTCGAATTCATTTTGTCCTATTACACATTTGTGAGATTCGGTCGTTGCAAGTAGATTTAAAGATGACAGGTTTTTGAATAGAGACGTCTTTTGTCAATGGCGCAGATGTATACATACGTTATTCTCATCTTAACGACGCTATACCGAATCCCACCACTTTCTCATTCTTCATTTCTCTCTTTTCGTACTTTATATTTCTTTTGACTGCATTCCCTTATCTTTATCTTGCGCCTCACTACCTTTTTACTCGATGTACTGACATTAAGTGTGGCAAGTGGGACCGTTACGCAGTAATGCCTGGTGCTAGGTTGATCTGGATGGATGATGATGAGAGACCTCTTTGCACCATTGCTCATGTGCGTTAAAATCATTGTATATATATATATATATATATATATATATATATATATATATATATATATATATATATATATATATATATATATATATATATATGGTGTTGAGGCTAGGCAGAAGGTTATAAGAAAGGCGAACAAGTTGGTCGATGAGGTGGCTTGGATGTGTGTTGCGCATACCATGTCACCATCTATCTCGACGGGTAATGTTAGTTGAAGTAAGATTGGGTTGGAAAAAGGCTTAGGGTAGGCAAACCAAGACGTGGCAGCAGTACATTGAGTCTCTGAGCTATGTAGACGGAGGTGTTGACAGACTATTCAGGATCCTGAGAGTGATGAAAGTCTGTTGTTGCAAACTCTTGGTGACATATCGAAAGATCGATGACAACGACGCAGATATACTCACTCTTTGAAGTCTTTCTTGTAAAACTTGAATATTTACACTAACTTTGCTTTTCAAATTCGTTTTCCTCTCATACATTTTTGTCTGTTTTTGTATTTCGCTTTCTCTTCCTACTTGTATTTTGCTTGGTACTATAAAGTTTGGCACCTTAAACCGATGACTTGTGTGCGAAATCCTACGTTGATTTTGTCTATCCGTCTGTCTATCTTGCAAGTAACAGTCGAATCAGAACTTAATCTAAGGTTTCATTTCTTTGTATTTTTATTAATTTGATCAGGCTGTACATGGGGAACGGAAGAAGAATGCCATAGGACTATTTAACTATACTTTAAACCGTATTGAATAGCTCTTTGAACTATTCATTAAAGAAAGCTATTTTTACTTAGAACACTGTTCTAAAATGATTAGGATTTTCAAACAAGTAATATTTTTAATCTTTATTGATGTGGTCAACTTAGTACTTCGACATAGGTTTCTCCTTGTAGTACATACTAATTTGATTCTGTGGTCGAAATCCACTTCCATTCCTCAAATTTTATGAATCCTCCTTCATAGATCCTTATTTACAGATAGTTGAGATGTGGCTCAGTGGTTTAGATAGATAACTATCAACCATTTGGTCACGGGTTTGAACTCCGCTACACCTACAGAGGTTTGGGCAACCAGGTAATATCATTAGTCTTTACACAATAGATGTGGCTCATTGTCTACCGCATGGATATACGCAAAGTGGCGGAATACGTTTCGTTTTTCTGGAACACAGGCACGCTTACCGACGCCCGACAATAGCTGTATTTCTCGACCTGACGGCGGCATTCGACTTCCTTGATCGAGAAGTCTTATGGCAATGTCTCTCACTGAAAGGCCTGCCGAGTAAGTACATCACCTTATTGAAGGCTCTCTACTCGAACACTTGTGGGCGTGTTACAGCCTATGGTGAAGTGTCCGAGGATCTGTGCTCGTCGAGTGGTGTCGGTCAAGGCTGCCCACTGTCTCTATTCTTATTCAATTTTATCATAGATATTCTTATGGAGGTCTCCCTGTCATCACCTGACTACGCAGAGGTTGACTTAATCGCAGGAGAATTTTCGTTAGACCTATAATATGCAGATGACATAGTCAGTCATGTTAGGTGAAGACGCTGACAAGATGCAGAGTCTTCTGAACACTTTGAGTGGGAATTTGAGAATGTTTAGGATGCGTTTCTCACCACCCAAATGTAAATTATTGCTCGAGGATTGGTCTTCAACTGTGCCACGGCTAACAATAGAGAGCGAAGTGGTTGAGTGTGTTGACCACTTCACTTACCTGGGAAGTAGGATCAGCATGTACTGCACTGAAGTCCTCTCTGTTCTACTGTATGGCTGTGAAACATGGCCATTGAAAGTGGTAGATATGAGAAGGCTTCAGGTGTTTGACCACCGTTGCCTTCGTGGTATAGGAAGTATTCCGTGGTATCACCACGTGAGTAACGCAGAAGTCAGGCGTAGAGTTTTGGGGAGAAGAGGTAAGTCAGTTGACAAGGTTGTGAACCATCATCGACTGAGGTGGTCGGCTCTGATATGTGTGTTACGTATGCCTAGTCACCGATTGCCTCATCACACAATGTTGCCGAAGTAGGCTCAGACTAGGAAAAGGTTCTTGGCTCTCGATCAGACTAAAACATGGTATCAGTGTATGAAGTGTTTGACTGTTGGTTTGTGCCATATAAGGCGATGCAGACTGGATGGTTGGGGTCCGCGGGACAAGGAAAACCAGTGGTTGGAGACTCTAGGCGATATGGCTCAGAACCGATGTCAGTGTCGCAGATGTATACACACATTATCTTCATTTTGACCGCTATACCTAATCTCACCAATTTCTCAATCTTCACTTCTCTTTTAGTACTTTATATTTCTTTTGACTGAATTTTCTTTCCTTCACCTTCCATTTCACTGCCTATTTACTTGATGTAGTGATATGAGGTGTGGCAAGTTGGACCGTTACGCAGTAATGCCTGGTGCTATGTTGATTTGGATAGATGGATGGATACGTTTCGTTTTTTCCCTTTTGCATTTCTAAATTTATATACTTGAAAAAAGTTGCAGTACTTCTGTATAAATAAAGTTTATTATATTCACATTTGACCTTAATATAACGCGAAAATTTATTTCTACCGATATATCATAAATATTTTCAATCATTTATTTTTTTAAAATCTTATTGACTAGTCAAATGAACTTTATATAAGCAAACCTAGAGATTCAATTCAAGCAAGCCTAGCAGATATACCTCCTCTACACAAAATGACTGACAAACGTCTAGGAAATGCTGTTCAACTAGATGAGCGTTACTCAAATCCTTCAAACACTGTAGAAATTGAAAATAATTTAATTTCACATTCTTCACCTGGTCAGCGTATCTCAGTAGATAGTAAGGAGGTAGATAAGGATTCAACAGATGATATCCATGCACATTCATCACATAGATCTGGAATTTCGGAGAATTCTGTAAGTCTATATTTTTTTTTCCTGGTTGTTTATATAAAACCTTATCTTTGTCATATTCACTGTGTGTCATTCCATTTATATGGTTTGTTGAGACCACTGACTTTAGAACACAAACAAATAATGGCGTAGCTACTACAGTGCAAACTGCTTAGAATGGATCAATAGAAAAATACAATGGAAGCATGATAAACATCGGTGATTTACGAGTGTATTACACGAATTATTTAAACTTCATTATTTACAGCATTCTTCAGATGATCGTACGTTGTAGGTCACTTGTTAATTCGATTTCACAAGTTGAAGGATTATTTAGCAGCTGTTGAGTTGATGTGTTATCTAACTAACATAGTGATCTGGTGGCTTTAAATCACAATGACCCAACGAGCCACATTAGTTGGAATGCCTGTTCCCTTGATGTCCTATCATGCCAGAAAGGTCTGTTGGATGGAGGGGTAAAATGAAAAGCAATTACCGTTATAGTGAAAGTTGTAGCATTGTGGTGGTGGTGGAGTCGAGAGAAAAACGAATTGTTAGGTTGATCTTGTGTGATAACTTTAAGATGTTTCCCTCGGATGACCGGTAATGCTGTGCTGATGCTGCCTCTCTTATGGGAATGGGTAGAGGTTAGAAAAGGTCAGCCCTGGAAATATCACACTCCTCTTTACTCCATGGTATACCGGCGCCGGCGATATGGGTTCATAGTCGGAGTCGAAACTAAAAAAAAACTTGAATGTTTTCAATGACATCATTCATTTAACAAAAAGCTGAGAAATAAGTGTTACTAGTATGTGATTTGATCGGGATAACTGAAAGAGATGTGTCAGTACTTTCTGTAGGCTTGCAACTATAAGCTTAAATATTTCATTAGAAGCTTCAGTACTAAGTGAAGTCCATTTTTGGGTGGGTGTGATAAAATTATTATCTGACAAGGTTGTTTGTGAGTCTGAATTCAAGAAGCTAAATCAACAAGTTGTCGAAACAGAAATACAAACACCTAAGGTTGGAATTAAGTTACTGGAAATAGTATGATTATTTCAATTCTCCTACGTGTATCGAGATGATATAACAAACCACCCAGTGACCAACATACTGAGAGGTTTTTTCTTCAAATTGAATCAGGAGTATGATATTAGTCAGTACCTGCATAGTATCGCGTATTGATGAGTTCTAAACCTCAGAGATCCATGTATGAAGAAGTAATGACGTTTTGTTCACTTGACGCTTTCAGAAATTCTGAATATCTGATCCAGTTACGATTATATGGAAATGCAAAGTGCTGAATATCATTACGTTGAACCTATGAGATACAGAAATTGAGAGGGAAAATGGAGACTAGGAATTAATCGTCATTTTAAATTTTTATTAATGCTAAAAGAGGTGAGCTAATAGTGACTTGAAGATCGATTTCTGATACCATACGTATTGAAGGCAAGGCATCTAACGATTGCACTTTGGATGATACGGAAGATGAATTGGATGAAAGGCTGCCAATTTTGCTACAGAAAGCAGAACTTTAAGATGTAGTCATAATCGCAGGTATCTTTAATGCTCAAGTAGAGGCGAGTCAGTTGTAAAGGCATTTTGGAGGTATCTACGGAATCCCATGCCAGCTATCCAACAACGGTAATCGTCTATTGTGATATCGTTCTAACAATCACTTGCTTCTGGCTAGCACTAACTTCAAGTATAGAGAGAGACTGTCTCATATGGCTTCCGTCGACTTTAAATCAGCAATGGAGACATATAGATCATATTTCTATAAGTCATCGTTGGGGAGGATCGATGGATGATTATTGCTCTTTCTAGAGTACTTGTTTGGACTCCTATCACGCGCTAGTATGGGCTGGTATATGTTTACACCTTACTGGTCACAAAACACAGGCAACAATGAAGCGTGTGTGTGTGTGCTTGGTTTGAAGATGAGAACACGAAGCACTTAATTATGGAGGAGATATGTAAGCATTTATCCGAACGTGACAGCGATGCTCATTGTGAGGAAACCTAACGTGATATTACGTCCACTGTAGAAACAGCGATTAAAATGGTTAGTAACCTACACTCAAAGGTTAGCAAACGTCAATGAATTCCGACAACATCAACGAAACTGTTGATAAGAGTGATTCTAGCTGATGCTGACTGCGATGGAAAGCGAAATCAACTTAAGCGTAAGTTTTAGAATTAATGATGTAAATAATCAATAGAGTTATTCCAGTTGGAGATGTGAAGCCAGGCTATTCTTAGGTAAATGGAGCGATTTTTGATGAGTGTTCAGTTATTCACAATAAGCGATTACGTGATAGTAAGAAAACAAATGAATATTGATAGAAACAATAAGGGGAAGAAGGTGTACAAAGTAATCCTAGAAGTTACATCATGCTGACGGCCATGATAATGAAAGTGGTGGAACAAACTTCTTTTGAATACAAAGGTTAGGTTTGTCAAATTGGATTGCAATTGCCACATGGATTACTCACTCGCCTACTTCACATAGCAAGGCGATTGCAATCCCCTTTTACAAGCCTAGTCTTGGTATTCAAACGAGGTTTGTTCCACCACTTTCATTATCATAGCCGCCAACATGATGTAACTTGTAGGATTACTTTGTGTACCTCTTCCCCTTCTTGTTTCTATCACTACTCACTTGTTCTTGGATTATTACGTAATTGTTCATTGTGAGTGACTCAACACTTCAAAAATCACTCCATTAAACGTAAGTTGACTCAATGTCTTCTCAATCACTGTGAGGTGTAATGGGTGATGAAGGCGAGACAGATGGACAATGTGTCGGTATTGGGTAATGCCCAGTAACTATTTAGGCTTATTAAGGATATTGGCGATAAGAAGACGATTTTTTTGTCGAACCATAATCGAGAAGAATGAGATGCTGATAACTTTTCAGGACAGGTGGCTAGAACGTTACACAGAACACTTTGAAACATAGTTCAACTGGCCCACAGCAACGCTTCGGCTGTCCAACTTCCAGCTTGAATCTGAATGGGATGTAGGTGTTGGTCTTCCAACTCTGGTTGAAGTCGAGAGGGCTGTATCGAAGCTGAGACGGTGCAAAGAAGCAGGACCTGACAGTTTGCCATTTGAAGATTTCAGGAATGGAGATAGGAAATTGCTAATTAAAGTGACAGAGGTACTGCATAGTGCCTTGGAGTCAGGCAATTCCGTCAGACTTGTGCACTTCACTTATCGTTGCAGTCTATATGAAGAGAGCGACGTCTGCTTGTGACAACTATAAGGGAATTAGTTTGACTAATATTGTGTGCAAAGTCCTAGGGTCCATAGTTATCCGACGTCTAACCGTAGCTCGAGAACAGCAAACTTTAAAAAACCAGGCAGGTTTCAGACTGCTAGACGAGGGCACGTCGATTGTATTTTCATCTTCGGACAGGTTCTGAAACACAGGCATACCTACCGGCAACCGACATCTGGCATATTTCTTGACCTGAAGGTGACATTTTACTCTGTCGACCATGAGATATTGTGGTACTGTCTGAATGTGGTGGTAGTACCGAGAAAGTATAACGCTAATCAAAGCTCTCTACTTGAACTCATGCAGCCGTGTCAATGCTTATGGAGAGTTATCATGTGAACTGACGACAACTAGTGGTGTCCGCCAGGGATGTACACTGTTACTGTTCTTATTTAACTTCGTCATAGATGTACTAGTGGACATAACACTGTATACGTCTGTCTTCACAGGGATTGGTCTACTCTACATGAAGAGACTACAGGTTTTCGACCGTAGGTGTTTTTGTAGCGTTGCTCGCGTCTAGTGGAATCACTCTGTGAGTGATGTTAAAGTTAAGCAGAGGGTTCTAGACAGGACAGACGATTCGGTTGATGAGGTTTTAAATGTTTACTGATGGAGGTGAATTAGACATGTGTGGTTCATACCGAGTCACCACATACTTTGACGTGCACTTCTAGGAAATGTTTAGTTAGGCTGGGAGAAGGCTTAGAGGGGACAGAATAAGACGTGGAACCAGTGATGAAGTCTGTAGGCAGTTTAGGAAGGTGTTCACTAACTGTTTGGGTTCGATATCATCTTATATCATTTTTTCTATCGGCTTATTTTTTTGCATATTACTGTGAAGTGTGACACTGAACTGATGGACTTGGGTGTGAGGTTTTTACGTTGATTTTGTTTGTCTATCTGATTGTTGTGAAATACGTTGTTGGAGTAATTGTCTTGAGCGAAATATAGCCTTAACGTTTATTCGCCGGGGATTTTTATCCATATTTTGTTGATTAGTTAGAAAGTGTAAACTACAGCGTTCGGTGTAATCCTCAGTTGCACACCACTTCATTTTTTTTCCTCTTGGCATCATTCGTCAAGTAATGCGTATATTGCATACATAGTGCATGTATCGCTCTGTTTAAGGAAAACAGCGCTGTTTGCCTTTCTCGTTTAACGACAATATCAATAAATACTTGCTTTAGATTTTTTTAATTGTTACTGATCGATTATTGAGAATAGAGTTCGTGCACGCAAACTCCATCTTTTCGAACATTATTCTGCCGGACCCAGTGAAGCAAATGATAACAGGTATGAAGTATTTTCTTTGTTCACACTTGACACAAGTACTCATCACTGGTTGATATTTTTTCATTCTCCAATCACCTGACAAGTTCTCATCTGTGGTGACTGTAGTTGAAACAGACGGCACAGGTGAAGACGTCAAAACCAGGATTGGAAAGACAGTAAGACAGGCCTTCACTAATCTGAAACAATCAGTGTGGAGATCTACTGTAGCGCACTTCATTAGACTCAGCATAAGGCGTGAACAAGATCCGGATTCTCAACACTAAGTGAGTGAAGTTATTGGCTCTATATGGCTCAGAAACTTGGCGCGTCATGGAAAGCACTTCCAACAAACTGCAGACATTTATCAACAGCTGCCACCTACTCTCATCCGATACTGACACTGAAGATCAGATGGGTAGTATAATAAGGATAAGCAACAGGGACCCTGACTGAATGGCTGGCTGGCAGCGAACCAACCAAGAACCCATTGCCCAACAAAAATATGCAGAAGAGAGTGGAAATGGATTTGATTGGGCATACACTGAGAAGACCGATTGGTGACATGACGCGTCAGGCCAGGCCAGGCCGGGCCGTTGAGTGGAACCGAAAAGGGAAACGACGAGTTGGGCATCCTAGGCGAGGGTGGCATGAAGAAGATAGTGTGAGGAATAAATGGAAGCTTATGGGCAGTTGTGGAGCCAGGTTGAAAAGACTGGAGAAAAGAGAGTGAAATGGTGATGGTGACGTGCTACTGAATCCCTATGTTTCACTAGGAACCCAAGGGACTAATAAAAAGATAATAATGACATATTTTACATCCGCTCATAAATACTTTTCTTTTTTCCAAAGGTGAGTTATTTCTTCAATTTCACTCTCATATTTTGTTGTTGTTGTGAATATAAGCTATTTTTTTGTAACTGAATAATAACTACTGTCTTATATCTCTGTGTTTTATGTCAGTTAACTAGTGCAAGTCAATCCAAAGAAATCTTGGAAGCTGCATTGAATTCTGATTCGAAATCATATCATTCTTCTACAATTTGTAAAAGTTCATACTCTCGTCCAACTAGTGATGAAAAATCGAATGGATTAAGTTCTCCTAACCGTTGGCAACCATCTGGAGAATGGGTATGCACTTGGAAGTCTAAAATGCCTTTTCAGACAATTATGCGTTTATTACAAGTTCTAGTACCTCAAGTTGAAAAAATCTGTATTGATAAGTGAGTGAGTTCTAGTATATTCTGAATATCAAATATCTAATATTGGAATATCCTTTTAGTGACAAAAACTAGAATGTAGGTTAATGAAGAACAATAATTTTATGTTGTTTTAATGGGAACAACATTGCTGACTAGGAAACAGGTAGATCCAGCTGACGAGTCTCAAATAGGACGAAACACGCGTCTTGGATTTCACTGGTAGCCACTATCCATCATTACCATAAGATTGAAACAACAGGTAATATAGAGGCATCCGCGCAGTAGCCCATGTGTCAATAGAGACTGATTCAGTTCGGTCCAATCAACAATGATTTTAGTAGCCTATCAGAAACGCTTAGTATTAATATGAATTGCCTCACATATCACAGAAATAATCAGTGTTACTAACGCCCTCTACTCAAGTTGGACTTTTTTCTATCTTTTTCCCCTGTGGAATTCTTAAATTAGTTTTCTGAGTGATCTCGATTTTAATTTTGTTTCTTATATTTTCCTGTCGTTGAGTGAACTGGATTGATCGGTCTCCATTGGGATATGGGCTCCTGTGCGGGCTCCTCGATATTGCCGATATTTTAGTTATATTGTAATGATGGATAGTGACTAACAGTGGAATCCAGGATGCGTATTTCATCCTAATAATAATAACAATAATAATAATAATTCACTTGCGACTTGTCAAGCAACAACATTCAGACTATACCCATTGCACAAGAAGTGGCCATCGTGACTCGGTGGTTCAGTGAATAATGCTCTGACCTTTGAAGCAATCGGTCCCGGACTCGAGTCCTAGTGGGAACAACATCTCTGACTGGGAGATAGGTATATCCAGCTGACAAGTCGCGGATACGACGAAACGTGCGTGCTGAATTCCACTGGTAGCCACTACCTATCATTAACTTTCCTTTTTCTTGGACTTTATGCATATAGGGAGAAACTTAGTATAAGAGGGGGAGGGGAGGGGGAATATTGTGAAGATGGTAAAATTAACAAACTAGAACAAAACTTTTCACCAAGAAGTATAACCATTGGCTGCTTTATGTAGATTAGGATAGAGCACTAAAAATGAACATCTAGAAAACTTTGTGTTGAATATCGTCTTATTATAATCTGTTGGTTTGTTTAAAAATAAATCCGTCAATGTAGGAATTGGATTATCTTCTTCCGAAAAAACAAACAAACGGTAACAGTATACGTTTTTAAAAAAGTAATTTCTTCAAATTTCTTTCATTCAATATGTTACAGACACAGTCATGTTAATGGCGCGTGATATTTGGTTTTTAATAATGTTCACATTGGATGCCTTGGTAACAATTAATTAAATGCTGTTGATAAACATAATCAACTCAAAATATTAAGTTTAGAAAAAGTTCAAAACTGTGGTGCGTTTTCTAAAGTCTTTCAGGGATCTTTTCATTGGATCCCAGTAACTATATATCATTGCGCTGACCCTGACCACAGCATATTTGGTAGTTTGTTTTCGAGGTAATACTATTGATACATTGTCTTTTCCTATGTTTGAAGTTAGTGTTGACTAGGAACAAGTGATTATCCAAACAAAATTGCAGAAGATGATAACTGTTGTTGTTTTGTCTTCATGGGATACTACGGGTATCCCTAGGATGCCTTTCTAATTGCCTCATTTTTCCTGCTTTAGTGAAGTTGAATAATGTAATTCAATGCATTAGGCATGTTCATATACTGGGCTATAAGGTGTACTTATTGTATGAGAAGTTATGATGCCGTGAAATTACTCAGGCTTAAGTAAGTGAAGCTGGATTTGAGCTGAGAACTCCTTTGTTAGGAGCTGTGCTCGAACCAAAGAACTACATCTTTATGAGTTAAAATTCAAAAGATGAAGATCTTTGGACGATAAAATGAAGATAAACTAATTAAGAATAAAGAATTTGAAGATTTGAAGGTTCATGCCAGCATTCAAGCTTTACAGCTGTGCCACTGTGACTGCCATGTCACCAAGAGTTGAGTTCTCAACCACTGATTCCTATCTTCTCGAGAACCCCAGTCAGGTAGTCTACATCTCCCCCACACTGCTCAGACCAATATTTAGGGACTTCATGGACCGGTGCCACGTCTTGGTCTGGACACCTTGAATCTTCTTCCAACCTAATTCAGCTTTCCCTAGCACGGCATATCGGGGTAAGGTGGTGGCTGGCCATACTCAATATATGTCCAAGTTATCTCACCCGATGAAGCTTCACAACTTCACCAATCTACTTGTATGTTTTACTAGGTACCCTTCACCTGACCTCAAAATTGTTCCACCAAATGCGGGCAATGTTACGAAGACTTCTGTGATCAAACCAAGTGTAGGCGTTAGCTCATGTGCTGCTACATTATGTATAGCTATGCGGTGATTGCATTGTATTGAATTGTTATAAACATTATAAACTGTTATACTTAATCACTATGTATACTAAGTGATATTTAACTCTATTATTTTAGAGGTTTAACGGATGAAACTGAGATAGTTCGATTTCTTCAGAATGGTACTCTAGTTGGTTTACTACCTGTACCACATCCAATACTTATTCGTAAATATCAGTCTAATGTTGGTACAACTATATGGTTTCGAAATTATCTATGGGGACTGATTTATCTCAGGTAATATTGTTAACTAAAATTTTCCAGTTGCACAATTTTTCAGTGTACATTGTACTCTGTATATTCTCGGCCAATGTTTTTTCTCCACAGTGCCTTAATTTTTATTGAAAGATTTATATGAATCATGTGTTACTAGCACACACCGGTTACCTGTATCAGTGATGTCGATTATCCAGTAGACCGAGGTATTATCCTGCTCTGGAAAGTTATTGATAAAAGCCGAAGGTTAAAGATCTGAATTTAAATGAGTGTCATGTATAACTGTAACTAAATGTAGGTATTGCTGCTGATTACATCAAAATTGAACGCGTATAGACTGGTTATAAGCAGAATTTCTATTCAGAGGTGAAGACCTTTCTAGGATTTACGAAACTATTCCATCTCCGGTAACGATAGTTAAACACTCAACTACCGATAAATGAACAAGTTTGTCGTTCAACATTAAACACTGTGCGACTAATATTATTATGAGAAGTAATCGTTTAGGCGGAAGCTACAGTTGTTAGGTCATAGATATCTTTGAAGCATTAGTCTCATCTTATAGAACCAAACCATGGGCAGTGTTTAAGTTATATGCCGAAATTTCATCCTCAAAAATCACTTAAATGCATGGAGTTATAAGACTGTACGGTACACACCATTTTTGTGCTATGACCGGTAGTACGGCCTAACACAGCGATATGAGCCTAGCAGACTACAAATGATAAGAACCTAACGCGCAACGAATCGACCCGTACGTAAATCAGAACGTTAACCACCACCACAACAATACCGCCGACACGCGAAGACAAAAAGAGAACACAGACCGTTGATGGAGACCTTTTACTGTCTCAACTACAGGCGGCGGCGGCGGCACAGACGAGGACGTCAAAGCCAGGATCAGAAAGACAACAAGGCAGACCTACCTTCATTAACCTGAAACCAGTGTAGAGATCTTCTGCACTCAGCATAAAACGTGAACAAGATCCGGATTTTCAACACCAATTCAGTCAAGTCAGTGCTTCTATATGATGGTTGAGAGACTTGGCGCTTTACGAAAGGGATTTTCAACAAACTACATACATTCATCAACAACTGCCTACTCTGGCTCGTTACTGAAGATCAGATGGCCGGAAAGAATAAGCAACGAGGAATTCTGGGAATGAACCAACCAACAACCTATCGCCCCAAAAATATGCAGAAGGAAGTGGAGATGGATTGGGCATACACTGAGAAGGCCAACTGGGGACATCACGCTCCAGGCCAGGTACTTTAGTGGAACCCTAATGGGAAGCGACGAGTTGGGCATCCGGGGTGAGGGTGACATGGAGGAGATGGTGTGAGGAAGAAATGAGAGCTTGTGGGCAGTCGTAGAGGCAGGTTAAAAATATTTCAGAGAACAGAGTGGAATTGAGACGTGCTACTGAAGCCCTATGTTCCACTCGGAACCCAAGGGACAAATAATAATAATAATAATAATAACCATAATGATAATATATTATTCCATGTAAAGTATGTTGAAGAAGGTTAAGCATGATCTTGTCATATTGTAATTATCCCTTGATTACTGAACTTAGGGTATGCGCAAGTAAGTTTAGATTTCTTGACTAGAGTTTTTGAGTTGTTGATAGCTAGTTTGCAAAGCTAGATAACGTGACTGGGAGTTGATCATAACGCCAAGAATCCCTTGACATTTTATCCTCTCTTAAAAGTTGAATAATTGTCTGTTTGATTTTCTAACGTTTGCTTTTTTTCTTGTTTGTCACTATCGTTCAGCTTCTCTTTAATTCCTTCCATATATTCTGGGAAGTACAGGGCCGTGAATCGATATATTTTTGTGTGTTGTGTTGCATGATATTCTACCAATTTTTAAGTGTATAAAAATACTTGGTGCTGAATGCGGAAATATGTTTTTACTGATGAACGAATCAAAACTTCCTCTTTTACTTGTTGAGTTGAGTTGAGTTAGCATCATATGATTGAAGAAGTCTACTTCAGTCGAAATAAGTATAGGATACGGGAACAGTTTACTTGTTTGTGTACAATGAAAAAATTTCTGATGTAGTCAAATTAGTCTATTAAAAACAACAAAATAGCCAAATGAGAAAACACTAACATCTAGACCGTGAAAAACAGACAATGCGAAAAATAAAAATTCATACTTTATGAGATAAATTTCATAAAATTTAACCATTAAATTCACAAGGATTAGACATCCAATACAAAGTTATTTCATCCTGAGGTTGTGAATCTTCGCTGATGTAGATGGTTTGACATGTGTTGCTCATGCCGAAACATCGCCTATCTTGTTGTGCCATACTAGGGGAAGCTGGATTAGGTTGAGAGAGGGTTCAGGGTAATCAGACCAATGCTTGGCACCAGTCAATGAAGTCCCTGACTGAATTTGGGGGTTTGTGGATATTTGGAGATTTTTCAAGTTGGTATTCATCATGAAGTGACATCAGTTAGAGGAACATTGGAAACATGGGAGCACTGCACAGCTGTTTCGTCCCGTTTGTATGGGACTCTTCAGCAGTGCATACCCATTACCCCACCCGCTAGGCCTCGGACCCTCGAGCTTCAGGTTCCGTGGATAGCACGTTACTTATTGAGCTAGTGGGTCGGGATTCAGTGATCCATATTTCCAACATATGTCAGTTCACAACATAGCGCGACCCGTCACTCAATGTCATCGTTGAGCATTGGTCTTCATGGCCACCAGGTTTGCCCCATAGGTCTCGACTTCTCATTGGAACTTCAGGACTCACCTCTCGAAGCTAGTCACTAGTGTGGAACTAGATCAATTGAATTTAGGGGTTCGGGGGCGGACTTGGTGGACGTAAAGACAAATACTCATCGATGATATTGGGTGATGGTTGCGCTACGTCGTGAACTGATAGAAGCTGGAAATGTGGACCATTGGATTTTGACTCAGTGGCTCAATAGTAACGTGCTGGCCACGGAAGCTAAACGTCTTGGTTTCGATCCAAAATGGTGAGTGATCTTGGGTGCGCACCACTGAAGAGTCCCATACCAGTGGGACGAAACAGCTGTGCAGTGCCTCCAGGTTTCTAGTATTCTTCCAACTGATATCAGTCCATGATGAATGTCAACTTGAAGAAGTCCTTGACTCAGGTTCTCGTAAAGATTAGGAATCAGTAGTTGACAACTCAACTCTTGGTGACATGGCAGTCACACTGGGGCACATGTATTCACTCTTTAATGTCTTCTAAAACCTGAATATTCATACTAACCTCTGTTCTTTTACACAACTTTGTCTACTTTGATATCACTAACATTCTATCCACATGTCTTTGTATACCACTGTGATGTATGGCAATTTGAATCGATGGTCTTGTGTGCGAGGTTCCATGTTGATCTTCTCTGTCTCTGTCCTGTATCGCCCTTCTCATTTAGCATAATGCATTAGCGTATCCTGGAGGAGATTGGTTCCCACTGCATGAGAGCCTTCGATGCTGTTGGCGACATCATGATAGCCACTCCCTCAGTGTGCTCGTGGTTGTCGTTTGGGTGACAATATCGGAGTAGATTATTGATTCTCCAGTTGACAGTTTGGAGAGTCCACTCCCATTCCATCTGCTTTCGCAAATCCCAAGCACTTCGATGTGATACCTTCTTATCTCTTTTGCAATCTGGGCTGCCTTGCTGGGTTCAAACATCGTACGGACATTCCATGTCCCCACGTTTACTTTCGCTTTCATTGAGAGAGAGAAGACACATCGGCCAATTGGCTTCCCGAAGGCTTTCACCAACTGGCATCATTTCGCCTCTCCGATTCCATTGGGGAATAATTTTGTTTTCATTTTTTATATTTTGTTTATGCTTTGAAGTTTCTTAAGCGGTTAGATTGGTTTTAGGGGATAGGGTTGCTAGCCCTATGCCCAACCTTCCCTGTTTACCCGGGCTTAGGACCGGCTAGTAACTAGTGAACTAGTTAACCAGGCGAGGTTAGCGTATGTTCAGGTTTATTGATTTTCATTTGCATTCATTATTTTAAGTCACTTCTGTATAGTTTTAAAAAAATGTAATATGCATTTATTTTCACGTCTGCAGGAATGTCAATCCACCTATCTGGTATGATACTAATGTTCGTTTATTTGAAATTCAACGGGTCTAATTCTACCTACACTTTTCAGTCTGCCGATAACTTCCAAGCACTACTACATAGTATAACTAATTCGCCTGAGTATCATCATTATTATCATTTATTAAGCGGTCTCATAAATACACACAACCTCAAAGTGTTTTGTTCACTGTCTATCCTTTTTCACTAGATCATGTATTTTAGTATCGTAATCATAAAATGTGTAATCAGTGTTTGTTGTGTGTATGTGTTCTGCTTTCCTGGAAAGTACAAATTGTCAATACTATACTCTCTTGAAAATGGTTTTTTTATATCTAAGTCTATGAGTGAAATTGTATGTGTAGGAGGTGTGTATGTGTGTGTGGATGTACGATTTATGTTATTTCTTCTTCAATGACAGTATGTGTACTTGTTGTATACTGAGTTGATTTGTTTCATGTTTCCTTTTTGTATATTCATTCATCTGTTCAAATCTATTACTATGGCTAATATACAGGTATATTCTGTCAGTTCAATGTCTATCTGTCTGTCTATCTATAGTCTGCCTGTTTATCTGTCTATTGTCCAACTGCTGTTCATTTCTTCTGTGTGGTGTATATTTCAGCATTTAATTGTTTCCTTTGCTTTAATCTACAATCTTCTGAGTTAAATTCTAACTATCTATCTTGTTCTCATAATGAATACATGTATGTGCTTACATGCATACATACAAGTATTTGTTCTCGAATAATTTGTTTCTTATCAGTGCTCTCATAAACTGTGATATTTATATTATCTATATATGTGACTGGATAAATGTAGTATACATTTTATGAATCATTTTTCTTGTTCTGTAAGACAATAAACAAATCAATATAGGTAAGTAATTTTTTCTGTTTTCAAAAAAAGGTTTCACCGTGAACAACAATGGATTAGCTCAATGATAATGTGCAAGCCATAAAACCTGAAGATCCTGAATTCGATCCCTGGTAGTGCGGGGTCATGGGTGCACACTGGTGAGGAGTCCCATACTAGGATGAAACAGCTGTCCAATGCTTCCAGGTTTCCAATATTCCTCCAACTGTTATCAGTCCGTGATGCATTCAGATCTAAAATCAATTAATTAACCTCTACAAACCTCCAGATAGAATTAACCTAGCGCTGATGGTATTGTTAGTGAAATTCCATATTGAAATGCCTTTCAGCTGAACGGTACAGTGAAACTGACTGTTATATTTTTGTAATCTCTGTTTACGTACCCAATAACTGCAGTTCGGATGAGGTGAAGGATGAGTTTCACCGAAAACTTTCCAACCTCCTACTGAAAGCTAAACACTCAAACGTGTTAGTTGCTAGTAGGGATTTCAATGCATACAAGTAAGTTGGCTGAGTTAGACAGAAAAGCAATTAGGTGGCAGTCGAAATCCCAGCTGAATAAACAGTAAGCGGCGATTTCCTATTACAACTGTACTCAGATAACCACTTATTTCTGGCCAGCACGAACTTCAGATATAAAGAGAGACTGTCTGACATGACGTCCGTCGAGCTCAACTTGACGGTAGACACTGACCATATTGGTATCAGCCATCACTGGAGAGGGTCTGTGGAAGACTGCCGCTCCTTCTGAGGCACACGTTTGAACAGATATCATGTGTTAGCCTACACATAAATCGACGTTGAAAAAAATGTAGTAACACGACCATTGTGAGTACAGCTTCACGTCGAGAGTGCTGGTGCTACTTTCATTGAGGTTGTGGATGGACAGTTATAAGGACACTCATGCAAAAGAAACCTGGTGTCACTTCCAGTCTACTGTAAAAAAGCTTTGAAAACGGTAGCGGACTCCCAGAGAGTGGTCATAAAGGGCTAGTAGATATCAGCTTCTTCTGAAATAATGGATGCACGTGAATACGTCCCTGCTGACTTCGAGCATAATGAGGAGCGGAAGAAACTCGAGTGTAGACTGACAAGAAGTCTGTGCAGTGAGCGCTTAGGCTAAAGCGATGGAGAAGGTAGCGGGGATAGGTAACAGTAGACAGTTATTTACGCCTATCAAGGAAACTGGGGTGAAATTTTCTGTAAAGTCTGCTTCTTTTATACCGTAGTGGTAGCTGAGGACTCCAATATGCATATCTAGCGTCTAGGATCAGAATAGATTTGTTTATGTTGTCATCGGAGGTTCATCAGCCACGGTTTGGAGAATGTTCACCGTCTTCTGCTGCTTAGCGCAAATAACACCTATTTCTAGCCAGCATTAACTTCCGACACGCTCATCATCGTTGTATTGCTGGAGTCTTCCACCTGGCACTCAATAGTGGACTCAAAATATTATACTGTAGTCAGCTACCGAGGACAAGTGTACATTCAGTACTGCTGCTCCTTTTGAACTGTGACCATGGTTTGGTGTACTTTTTTGACTTAACTTGCTGGTGGTACGTACTATACAACATTTATAAAAGTAGGTTCAGGCTGGAAAAAGGGTCGTGGCGGCCAGACTAAAACATGGCATCACTGCATAAAGTCCTTGACTATTAGTTGGGAAATTCAGACTAACCGGTTGTGGTCCACGTAACAACAGAAACTAATGGTTGGAGACTTGATGATATGGCTCAGAATGGATGTCAGTGGTACAGATGTATCCATACTTTGTCTTCATCTTAAACGCTATACTCAATTCAGGATTTTCTCTTTGCTCTTTTACTGCTTTCGACCAATTTTTATGTCTTCATCTGAGTGCTTTGTTACTTGTTGTGCTGATAAGAGGTGTGGCAAATTGCGCCATGACGCAGTATAATGCCTGCGCCCATGTTGATATTGATGGATTAGTGCGTGTTTAATTCATCTTGCGTTTTGGTCAGCATCAATGTCGTTTTCAACAAGTTCACGTAAGTATTGCAACTGTATATCAAACCGAGCTACGTCCAAAGCTAGCTATGGAACCTACCTATGGTATAGATATATATTTGTTGCGTTTAAAGCTGTGTATGGCTTTAAGAATGTCCCAGTAATAAACATTAGGCGTCCGTGAACTTTTTGTAACTTCATGCTTATTGGTCTCTTCCGGTAAGTAGTATCTATATCGATAAGCGTAACTGCTCCACTCGACAAATCATGCATCAGTTGGGTAAGAATCACATGACTGGTGATCAGAACTAACTGATGAGATGATAGCATCGTCTTATAACCAGATGTTACTTTACCTCATCTGAGCTATTTGTAACAGGCTTGGGGTCAGCGAGACCATCTATAAAAAATACGATAACATAATCATATTTCTTCATGGATAGCTGAATGACAGTACATTACTTTGAAATCCTGCTTAGATGTCCTAGTGCTTCAGCAATGTCGACTTGAATGTCTTGTGATCCATGGTCAGTTAACATCGACCAACCTGGCGAAGCGGTGGTTTAAATAGAAAATCAAATCCTAATGTGCTACATTTCACCTGTTCCTGGTCACTTACCCCTGATTTCTTCTAAGGATAGATGTGACACTAGTTAAGTAACTGACTATATTGTCTGATGGGGTATGGTTGACAAATAGTGTTCCACTGTTCTACGACTGGGCGCTTTTTCTAATTCTCTCTAACTATTTGCACATAGTGTATAATATTTGTTGGGGTATCAGTCTGTTGTCAGTTGTATCTAAGATATTGGCAGTAACGATTCTACACAGACTCTTGTAAATGCATGATTAATTGGTCCATTAGAAGAAGTTCGTGGATACAGTGATTACTCACTCACCAAATGCCAACTGCTCGATCATCATATCATATACTGTAAGCGGACGATCGTTGTATTTCTCTATATCAGGACTACCTTCGATTCATTGAACAGGATTATGCTCTGGAGTTGTCGATGAGAAGTGGTTGTCCCTGAGAATTCCGTTAGCATCTTGAAAGAACTTCAACACCTCAGAGTAATGGCATGCAACCACCTTTCTGTATTGCTCCGAACCGGTGATAAAGTTAGGCGGGACTGGCTGGTCTTGCTATTCTTTTACTTTGCCATCGATTAAATTCTTGAGACAGCTTTGAAAGGGGTATGCTGCCATGTGGAAGACGTTTTTATTGTGAGATAACATGCAGGCTACTCAATCATTTAGTGATGAATGTTCGTGAGTACGCAATATGTTTCTCACCATCGAAGTGCAAACTTCTTTTACAGTATTAGTAATAGCTTTTCCTTATACTAACTGTTGGTGGTGAATCACTTGGAGTTGTTGAAAAGTTTGTGTATTTGGGTAGTTTTGTGAGTGCTACTGATGGGATTTCCAACCGTTCATTGAAAGCAAGATCGGTTAGATTAATCTTTGTCTTTGTTGCAACATTAGCCTCGCTGTAAAAGGTCGTGTGTACAACACGCTGGTCCGGGGGATTCTCTGTCTGTGAGATGAGACGTTTCCTATATGAGGTTGTTAGGTGACTACTTTTTCAATCACCATTGTTTCTGTAGATTTTGAGGTGAGACAGTATGTGTTCGAGCGCAGTCATTTTGAAACATCGGCTTATAAATGTATTACACCTATCGTCTCATCGTTCACCACACTACTAGGATTGGTTGGAAGAAGGGAAGAGGTGATCGGTCTATGATGATGTGATTTTGCAATGAAGATGAATATTTTAGTTTTAGTTGAATTATGGTGTTTCGTTAATCTGTTTGCCCAAGTAGCTTCTACTTGTTATGTAAGTACAGTTGAACTGTTACAGTCACACTCTACCCATGTAAGTTTTTCTTATTCTCTCCATCATAGTTGCAATGTCTCTGACTTTGAATACTTTTATTTGTAAAGTAAAAATGACTAAACTTATCATACCCTGTCTTCTTACCGTACTTTCAGGATTAAACTTTTATTGTCTTCGTATCATGAGATTATCTAATTCGTATCGAAGATTTCAACTAGCGTCTCTTCCTCTTAACTACAAACTACTGTTAGTGAAAAGCAAATTTTCCATATTAATTTCGGTCAGTCAGTCTGGGCATACTCCTACAATTTAAAATGGTTTGCTTAGTGCTTATCCTTCTCATGTTCACTCTACAATCAGTCTACAATAA